CCCCTAAAGAAAAAACAACAGAAAAACCAGTAGACTTGTTCGTCACCTCTGGCCAGACAGGCGTAACAAGTAATTTTCGTTCAAAGCGCCATTACTTCATCCATGCTCGTGTAAATAACTAGACATATTCACAAACAATTGTCATCATCATCACCATCAACTTCAGTACACCCACTGCAGGGCAAAGGCTTCTCCCATGATCCTCCAACCAAACTGGTTTTATTCTTTCTGCTGCCACGTTATACCTGCGAACCAACAATAGTATGCCTTTTCTTATTAAACTATTATCTTTAACTGATTGCGCACGTCAGCATTTCAGAAATAACAAAATATTCCAAGACTCGGTGGCTTACTATATATTCAACCAGAGGGACACACGTGTGTATATGCAGGAAAATTGATTACCTTTCACACGCTCGAAAACGACGTCATAAAAGGGAGCGAGCGCACTTGGTTAGAACATTCTCCTGAATTTTCTGCTGGCGGGAAAATGTTGAACGTGGCCTGAACTTGCGCTTATTGCCACCTTGTTACTAACTAAAAGTGTAATATGTGACTGGAGAATGAGACAAACAGGCTCAACGGCTGGATGACACGCTAAAAGAAAGCTGGCCGTGCAACTTTGCAAGAAAATTTTAACCTTGTATAGTACTCCGATGGCAATATGGAAACTAAATTGAAGCATCTTTAGCCCTTTCAAAAGTTTCAAGGAGCTTATACAATCGATAACAATTCAGGATGGAAACACACTTCTTCAGAGCCTATTCTTTAGTGCTAGGAACATGAGCGTGAAAAACGAGACATGTGGACATAAAGCTGTCTTCTAAATGCGTCCCCATGTCTCCTCCGAATGAAACATGAGAATTGCCGAACCAAGTAGCCCACCAGTCAGTTTTAATGCACTTCTTTTACGCGCTCTACACAAGTCATGCTTGTACCTGGTGCTGTCTATAAAGCAAAAAGCAATACAAGAAAACAAATTCGACAAGGCGTAACTCTTCGTTCAAACTAATATCTCTCCAGCGGTACACACTATCAGGCTGTATTCACACAACGAATGAAAATGTGAATTGAGCCTGCGGATTGCGTGCTACGTCAGCATACATCATCCGTTCCAGCGTTACCGCTTCAGTTCGCGCGGATCGATTCGTGACATGACGGAGGCCCCAAGCACAGTTAGGATCCTCGGGGAGCAATGACGACATCCTCGCATGTAGCGTGAATTCTCCCCTGATGTGGGAAAGGTGGTTGTGAAAGGATCAGAATCGCGGCACATGACGCGCGACTGATTAGCTCGCGATCACGTCCACGTGTGAATACAACTTCAGTCATTGTATGAGTGCCGAAATTCTGCTATCATAATAAAAGTGGGACTACCTTACCGCACGTGAACACTTTGCGTGAAAAGTAACGGATCTACAATGCTAAAAATTGATATGCCAATGAGTAGCAAGAATTTCCATTTCCAGCCCTCCATTGCTGTCGACTACAAAGTGGCGCACAAGCAGGTGACAGATAGGCTGTTTGGCACGTGCTTACTTGGTCCATAGGCTTCTGCAGTCTACTGTACTTCAGACATTACTGCGAAAGCAAAGGTATGTATTGTATTAACGAGAATGGTGTGCGTTCCCTACAATGTCGCTGTGGAGGGGCCAGATACGCATGCTACAACACTTCAACTAGCTTAGTAAAACATAGGACACTAATACGGGCCAGACGACGATCAGAAACATCAGGTAAACGGGACAGACACGAAAGTGGATTAAGTAGAGTCAGCTGCTAAAGCTATACTTGTTCATTTTCCCGATAGCTCAAGCAACCTTCTATAGTTCTATAGTAGCAGCATGATGTGACGTTCGCACATACTCACGGCGCGTCGAGACTCACTGATGACGATGATGTCAGCAGCTACGGCTTAAGACCTGTGTGATGGTTCGTCGCTTGACAAAAAAGGTTTCTTAGCCACTGGGCTCAAAAATGGCCTGTCTCCAGACGCGTTTTCAAAGGGCTCAAGGTGAGAAGTCTCTAATAGTGACGGAACAGTTGAGCACCGTAATCACCACCCAATATGAAAGCGGTGCAGGTAAGGGAGGTAAGGATGCAGTCTCTGTTTGGTGCAAACTAACAGAACGAACACCACTCTAATGTGATTTAAGCATGCTCACTCGGATGTCATGGCCATGGTCGGGTGCGTGTGGCGACATTCCGCGGTCGAATTCTAAAGAGCAAAACAGCGAAACAAATGACGCATGAAGTCCACCTCGGTGAAACAGTAGCTGCGGTAGTCGGCTGCTGACCCAAAGGTCGCGAGTTCTATCCCGGTCGTGGCGGTCGCATTTCGATGGAGGCGAAATGGTAGAGAGATCATGTACTCTGCGATAATGCCTGAGAACGTTAACAGCTGGCCAAATTTTCGGAGCCCTCCATTACGGTGTCTATCATAATGATATTATGGTTGTATGACACAAACGTCCATATATTATTAATATTATTAATAATATATTATTGTTATTATTAATATTATTATTATTAATAAAATACGCATAACAACCGCGCTCACACACACACACACACACACACACACACACACACACACACACACACACACACACACACACACACACACACACACACACACACACACACACACACACACACACACACACACACACACACACACACACACACACACACACACACACACACACACACACACACACACACACACACACACACACACACACACACACACACACACACACACACACACACACACACACACACACACACACACACACCACACACACACACACAGAGTCAGAGAGAGAGACGATTTAGAAAGGCTCGTTGGACTTCAGCGATAACATTGTCGTTCGAGCGATAAGCCATGAAGTTATGTCTATGTAAATTTAAGACCCACAGCGCGGAAATACGTGTCGTTGGGCGCATGTGGTGTTATACGTGTCTCTGGAATGATTGTCATTGTCACGACCAGGAGGATTGTGTGAATCTGCAAAAAAAAAAGAGTGTACGAAACAACTAATTTCCACTCTTAACATGACAACTTAAGAAATTGACACTAGAAATTGCCGCATGCCAATCAGCACTGTTCATTCGAATAGCATAATGATCACCCGACGACAATTAGTTTCCGGTTTTGTGAAAACACTTTGCTTGCATGAATGAGAACGTTAATGAAATCCTTTCTCGGTGCTGTGGAAAACTTGGAAAGCAGCAACTCATTACTCCTTGCAGGCAGTGATTTTCCCTGAAGCGCTTCTACTCAGCGTCAGGAGGTATGCCTCCCACGTGCAGGAATTGCAGTATATGTATTCCGCACCAGACCTAAATGACCACAGTTGAAATTCCAAAGTCGTAACGTTTTTGTTCATGTTTATATTTACCCTCATGTGTTTCCACCGTAGATTGAGACAGCGCTAGAATCATCCGCAAGTGGGCTAGCGTGCACGGGGTTACGCTCGATGAGCACAGCTGGTGCTGCGCCGCAAGCGCTGTGACACGTGACCGGTCAGACACATCAGCCACCATAAACACTTAATAACTATTTCACGTTGTTAAAAGCGGACAGTCTTTCTTTGTGTTAACGATGCCCAATGAACAAAAAATGGTGGAGGTGCAGCTAAGCACATATCGAATGTCTCGGACGATGAGATCCGGAGAGTTTAAATGAAATGGCAATAATTTTTTAAATACTTGTGCATACTGTGTTGCTGATAGAATGACAAACTACGCATTTACCACTAGTGAAGATGTTCGTTGGTTGGTTGTTCGTAAAGTCTTGGCGCACAGCGATCCCAATAGTCACAAGACAATGAAGACGACAATGGTCACTGATTACAAATTAATTTTCTCCCTAGGACTCAGTGATGGGAAAGTTGCCGATACATTGCAGGAGTTTATTGAAGGCTCAAAGAGATTCCGGCTGTACAACCAATTATTACTCACAAACTATTTGTTTCCAAATTGCTTTATTTATTCATTTATTTACTGTTGTTGCTGAAATTATGCCCTTCACTTTCAATATCCTTAATTTTGTTTGTGAATTCTGAATATTAAACTTTTTTCTTTATCCCTTTCATCATTTTAATAGACGTAAGAAAACAGAAGTATTTCGTAAGAACTACCCGTTTTTGGCCACTGTACCAGCGTGTGTGTGTGCCACAGATTACAAACTCTTGCTTTTCTTCTGTTTCAGACTAACTTTATGCAAGCTATAGGTGGGTTTGCAATCTAGAAAGACACGTTCGAAGGAAGAGACTATAAGAATGTGTTCGGGTTAATCAACGATTAATTTCCGAGGCCAAACAATGGCTCCTTGTAAAGCAGCGTCTCTTTCAGATAGGCTGCTACGACATTTAAAAGAAAACTCGCGGAACAAACAAGATGAGGAGCCGAAGTAGAAGAAGAACTCACGAGGGCACGCGGTGGCACGCGAGCGCTTTTCAAAAAACGCGTCGGCCACGGTCATCTTTTTTTGGTTATTTCAAGGCGTTTCACTTAGACGTAAGTAAACGTAACAGTTTCAATTTGTAGCTTCTACTATATTGACAAGCTACTCTTGTTTTGCTATCGGACTTGATCTCGCGAATGGTTGTCGTTGTGAACGGAAATCCGACCACCCTCCCACATTAGGCTTAAAGAGAAACCGTATCCTAGAACAAAAGAAGGCTGATCTAGGTGGTAGAATGGATCATAGTGGCCAACCCAGCCAGCGAGGACACAAGCGACTAGTGTCCACGCTTGCAAGTCTTTCTTCCTGCTAAGAGGATTCATGCGCTGCCGGGCGGAGCGCGTCGTTTAGAGCGTAGAGAAAGAAACATGTTCAGCATCTGCGGCCGGCGAGCACCTACGCCAAAATGTGCCTTGGTTAGTGCTGTCCTCACTGAGAGAAACGAGACTGCTACTATCAGTACTGTACTTGCAACGTCAACAAGCCTATTGGGACTAAACGATGACGGACGCAGGACTGCACGGAAACCATGTGGTCCCCCGAGGGCAACCAGAGATCGCAGGAGTTTTCCGTTTCCTCCTTCGGTGGTTCGGTGCCGGAGGTGGTGAAGAGGTCGCCACCGGAGGCCGATGAAGCAGGAGGAGCCGCTGGTGTAAACGCACCAGTCAACGAGCATGACGTTTACTGCGGCCTGCTGGGCATGTACCCGGAATTCCTGCAGGCGTACCGAACGCCTATGAGTTACCTCATTTGCATCTGTCTCCTGGGCATGACCCAAGGCTTCGTAGTGAACGGCCTAGTCTCCGTGGTGACGCCGACCATCGAGAAACGGTTTCAGCTTCTGGGCATCGAATCTGGCGTAAGTGAACGACACCCTACTCCACTTTCGTAGACATGAATGCCATGAGACAAACAATCGTTAATCTTGTCTTACATAGAAATGTTAAGTCCAATTCACTGAAAACGTGCTTCATGTGACATAATTGATGTTGCTCTCATAGTATCCTCTAGCCTCGTGATTAATTTCTATGGTGCAGCAACCATAATAAAAAAAGTTTGATTCTAGAATTGATTTTGTAACCCGTACTTTCTGCGTACTCCATTGCTCTGTGCAGTATTTTTACTATAGGTACAAAAAGCACTCTACCCTTCAGGTTTCTCGAATACTGATTGATCTTCAAAATGTATTCTGTATTGTTAATTTCACTTCAAGCTAATATATGCTACAAGTGAGAACTTTTTTAATAAATGCCGAATATATGCGATAGGAAAACGAAGCGACGTTAAGGCGTATTTAGAAAAAAGCAATTGATTGCTATGACTCTGTAATAATCTTGCCTTCATAGAAGTGTGAAGCAGTAATGTGATGTTCAGCATAAATCTTATGTGGCAGATTGGACAAACTAAATGAGCATCAGCCATAATCCACTCAACGTAATTTGTTCATGTCCCTGTCTTCCATGGCACTAGTTATATTTGTGTGACACAAACTACATGAGCGTTTTGCATTAAGTACCAAACAAATGGCAACCTTTGCATTTGGAGTGAAATCCATGGACTCATCAGCCCGACACCACCACCAACAAAGTATGCTGTGAAGGGTGGTTCATCTCACGGTGCACTAGATAAGCAGGATGCTCCTGCTATATATATCTAGCCAGAGTCTAAAAATATGCCGATGCACTTTACGACGAGGCGGCGAAACACATGTTGCTGAGTGCTGGGTGGGCTGCGTCACACTATTTGTGTGTTCAGCCTAATCACTTCATTAAGCAAGAATAGTTAACCACCTTATCTAGATCTAGCTAGATCTAGCTCCCAATAAGAACATTATAGATCAGTTTGTGAAATACTAGATTAGGTGACTTCTTACATTTTTCTCTAAGACATTAGTGTTGTTCTGCTTACTGCAGCTGCTTGCGAAAAGTAAAAATGTATCACGTGACATGCCTTCTCGTAAATAATAACTGCAGTGCACCCAAAGGTTCCCCGTACAAACGGGAGATTGCCGTCGCAGCTGTTCATGATGGTGATAAGCAAATAGACTGGTTTTCTCCTGTGCAGCAGTTAACAAGTGCGTCATTTAGCAGCGACGCGCAGCCACTGCCACCGCTGCTGTCCTGCCAGCTTTTAAGTGGCGACAAAGCCAGCACATGCTATGGAACGTGGCACGTTAGGAAGCCCAGCAATCAAGACTTACACTGGTGCACTAATGCGCTTGTCACGTGGAATTATTTTCTATTTCACGAGACTCTGTAGGAAGAATAAAAAGAGATACTTAAAGGAATCGTGGAAAGGCTTCTCCTAAAACAATGCGTAACCATCGTCAGCCACACGTATTAGATATAGGTGACGTGAGGCTAAATAGACGTCGTCAGGCTACCTGCGTGGACGCTTATGGAAGCAAACACTCGATAAGGGTCCGGGCAGGTCTACTGTAATGCACGTTTTGCCACGATAAAAGTCCAGACAAGTCTACTCTATTTAGGCAGATGTAATCCATTTGGCGCGTGTGACTGCTGAAGGTTCCGCATTGTTGTTTTTGGATTGACCTCTTCTGAAGCCCATTATTTGATAGAAAGTTGAAAATTGCCTAATGAGATTGCTTGCAAACTATTGCAAAGCTTTCTGACTGAAAAATTGGTCCCGTCTCGTTGCTTCACGAAAAAAGTTGATAAACTTAATTAAGCAAGCTATAAAATAGTACACGCAAATAGTGTGATTTAATCCATGCACTAGTCAGCAACGTGCATTTGATCGGGGCGTGGTAGAGTGGTGCGGTATATTTTAGGGTTCTGGCTAGAATTAGATTAGTTGCCTTTTACATAAACGCTAATGACATACAGATGCATTCTGGTGGGATCTCACAATTTAGTGCCTTTAAAATGCGATTAAAAGAGCCACATTCGAGGGACGTTGAGCGCGAAATTGTGGGTTGTCAGTGCGAGTGGCAGCTTCCCAGTAGTAGTAAGCATCCGGAACAGCGAAACATACAGAGACGGACTAGTTGACAATAAGCCATGGAACTAAATGCAATATCTATAAGTTTAGCTCTACCAAGAAACATCGGGGCATAGTTATGGAGGGCGTGTACTGAAAATTACCGCTCAGGCATTCCGTACAAATGATTAACCAGCGAAAGCTGAAACGTGCGGCCCCGGTGTTTAGCAGTGGGTTCAACCCTACGCTGCGTTTAAGTGTGTGTTTTACAATTATCGTTTACTACATGTCTGTGCTTCTTAACTAGGTTAGACACATGTTTGGCTTCGGTTTACCGTAGGCCTTTCAGTTACAGCGCCCACAATTGTGGACGCGAACCTCAAAGGGGCGTCATACGCGACCTGATCTTTCTAATGGCTCTGTGACTAGGTGTGCACATTCTTGCAGCTTTCGTGAACAGACAAACGTGAAAAGTATTTCAGGGACGAAACTCCTTACGCCGTGGCTCGTCCATCCCGTGTCGTCGTCGTAGTACTAGTAGCCAGTTTCAATGTTTCAAAACAGTCTCAGAGCATATCCATGGAGTGAAAGATGATGAGTGGGGCGAAGAGTCGTTCAGTCCGTCGTGCGAACATCCTTGCGTCCGTCCATGCGTCCGTACATGCGTCCGTCCGAACTTCTGTTTGTGCGTCAATTTGTCCATCCGTGCGTCCGTTCGTCCATCCGTGCGCCTACCTTTCCGTCCGTCCATCCGTCCGTACGTCTGTCAGTACATCCGTCCGTATACGTCCGTCATTCCATCCGTGTGTCCATTCGTGCGCCCGTCCGTGTGTCCATGCGTCCATCTGTCCGCTTCACCACGCTCGTCATCATTCCCCTTGTGGATATGCTGTGATTTTTTTCCTTCGCTCAAAACAAATGCTGCCAAACAACTGTGCATGCATTTTGGACCGAACAGTTAATTATGCTATTACTGAAGCTGGCTGGTGACAGAATAATAAGATATTTAGCTGCACACTCATTAACCTAAGTAATGAAACTTGCATACAACAACACATTCATTCATTTTCTCTCTTAGAATGTGGTACTGAGTGCCTTGAAATCATCCCACACAAACTTCACGTGATTCTGACAATGGAATCATATGGGGCGTCTGAAGGGCATAGTGTTTATTTAACATTCCGCACAATGTGCCTCGTATATACACGGTCATGTAGGAGTGTAACGAGCGGATAAAGTGATTTCGGAATGCATTAATTACATTGGTTACTCTCGAACCACAGGTGATCATAGACGTCGCAACCGTAGCCAAATCGCCGCTGGAGAAACTCCCGCCGAAAGCGAGCGTTCGCCCGACCAACGCGCTCCCACAATCGTCACGTCGAGGCTGCCGTGACCGCAACGGCACTTGCTTGGCGTGGCGATGTTGCACGCGTTTGATATCACGAGTTATCTCAGTGGCGTGGTTTGCAGGATCCGCCCGCCACTGGCGCTTGCATTCCCATACGCGATTTAGCACGGCTTGCAAGGCTGTCGGATCATTGGAATGCCGTTACTACCGGCACTCTGTCTCTCGGGCTTGTTTTTGTGCCCGGACTGCAGCATCGGCCCAGCCATGCTCTCTCACTCTCTCTCTCTCACGTTTGCACTGTCAGTGCTCTTCTAGAGTTGTCCGTGGCTTACTTATGTGGAAGCTTTCAGTAGAAACTGAGGCACACGTGCTTGGCGCCCTGGCTGTGACGGGATGGGTTGACGTCACTCGCAACGTTTTCAATGGCATCGGCGCTTGGGTACGACACTGAAAACGATACAACTGATGTGCAGCTAATCAAGACCGCTCGTGACATCAATTATGAACAGTTTTAACGCAGTAGCGTTAAATAGCTCGCTTCGCCGAAATTCCGGAGTCGATGTCGGCGTAACCGTCATTGGTTGTGAGAAAAAAATACATCGTACTATGCGTGACCGAAAAATTGAGAACGATGCAAATAAATATAATAAATAAATGATTAAACTTGGAGCAGAGTGGGAACAAACCAGGGTTGTTCGGCTCCAAATGGCGATCGAATCTGGGTCGTTGCGTGGCAAGCGGATGTTCTACCACACAGCCACGCCTCTGCAGTGAAAATAATTTCCTCTGCTTGGAAATGCAGTGAAAGTAGCTTTCATTCTTTACAAACGCACACGTCCTGGTTTGCATACTCCCCAATGGCACATGGAATATTGCAGTGATAATGTGTGACACAAGCGTTCATTGCTAACGGGCGTCAGAATATGCGATTATCATAATGGCTCCGCGTTTGAAAGGCTATACCCAACTTGAAAAGGCCACGCAGTGGCCTTTTGTAGTGGGTATACGCAGTTCCTTTAAAGCCACGCAGTGGGTGCATAGCAAATTCGAACAGGTTTCATTCACTAAGTGTTTGAAGTGCGAACTAAGAACAGAATGTCACTATCGCGCTCAACTCCTAAATGCGAGGCTTTTATAGGGTACCCTTATTTTTTTTTATTTGTCCTAGTCATGTAGAACTTTCGCTCTGAAAAAAAAAATCTGTGCAACTTGTGGCGCCTATTGGAATGCCAACGAAGAGCTGTAGGGCGAGTCGCAGAAACAATTTTCGTTGACTGTACTTGTTCTTGTTCAATGAAGAATCAATAGAACGAACCCAGTGACCTAATGGTCACCCATCTTCTAGATTAGGCTTATATTGAAAGCAGTGAGGAAGAAGTAACAGACCATTTTAGATATTAAGAGAGAGCGTAGTTAGAGTGGAAAGTTAGCGATCCGGGTGGTGAGATATGGCCTGTGTGGGAAGTATTGGATTAAAACTGTGATAATTCAACGGTGAAGGTAATGACATTTTCGACAATTTGGTTGCAGCGTCCTGACGCAGTTTAAACTGGAGCATTGATATTCCTGTAAGATGAAGCAGCCGAAGTAATTGTAACACAAACGTTACAGAATACTTCTCCTTATTCCCACAGATAGTAGCATCTTTACCTTTCTCAGGCAATTGTACTGCGCAAAGTGGAAAACCAAACAAGGGCATCTGCTGGAGACGTATTGAATATGGTCAGAATCGAGAGAGTGAGTAAAAAAAAGTTAAAAATAATTTCATCCACAGTTAGCAATATGGCATGCAGTTTACAGCAACTCCAGAACAAATTCGACTACATAAACTCTCTTACTACCAGCACCCGCCCCGGTGGTACATAGTTATGGCGCTCGACAGTTGATCTTTAGGTGGCGGAAGCGCATACCGCCCAAGTCGGCCACCTTGTCGATGAAGGCGAAAATGCTTGCGGCCCATACAAGTTCATTTACGTGCACGTAAAAAACCCCAGGTGGTCAAAATTTCTGGTCCCTCCACCACGATGGCCCTCATATTCACGTGGTAGGTTCGGGACGTTGAACCCCAGCAGTTAGTATTATCTCATAGTGTCAGCACTATGTAACGTGGGGTAACTTCTTGCAAGGGTGGTATATATGGTTAGATGGGGAATATTGTTAAACAGTGTTCGCTAATGACAGACATGAACGCGATGGATGGATACGAGGAATAAGAGCTGCACGTGCTTTGCAATAAGAGGATGACGCCTTGGAGACGTCACGGGCTTTGTGTTTATCATTGTGTGTCCACCACTGTTGGTGAGTGCTACCTTATATCTTTATTCATACTGACGGCAGGTTGCATCAGCAATATTGTTTTGATCCAGTCCCACTGCAATGATTGAGCCCATCATCACATTTTCTTTATGTACTGTGAAAAATTAAGGTCGTTCCCGCTACCTCATTTTTTTTTTTGCGGCGCAGCTGATACTGAGCATGTTCAACGTGGCGTCGTGCATCATGGTCATGCCGGTGAGCTACTACGGCGGCGTGGGCCACAAGCCGGTCATAATGGGCGTCGGCGCGCTCGTCATGGCGACTGGCTCGATGGTGTTCTGCTCGCCGCACTTTCTCGCGCCGCCGTACCTGCCGTCCGACCTGGGCGCCACCGACATATGTCCGGAGCGAGGTCCCGGAAAGTGTGCCGGAGCCTCGGCTACCTACAGCATCAGGAGCTACAAGTACTACTTCATGGTTCGTGCGCTGGAACTCTGGCATGTGCCTATACGCCACTCTGTGGCGTTTGGGCATTTTTCTCAAAGGCGGAGGCGTTATATGCACAGGCCCTGATAAATATCACGTGATGATGTCACAGATCACCACACCTTTCGACGTCGTCCTATAGTATTTTTTCTTGGCCAAAGATTGGCAATAACAAAGCTAGTGCAAAATTGGGTCATCTGAAGAAAGCTTTCAATGCTCGAGTCATGCTTGGATTGGAGCCGTGAGAGGATGAACACCTTCGACTTCTCATAAGGGGCCAAACGTTTTTACCGCATTTGTGGAAGACCTGTCCTATTTTGCCGTATTAGATGCAAGCTATAGTAACACTGACCGTCCTCGGATTATGTTTGGTTAGCTTTGGTTAAATTATCGCTACTGGCGACCATTTTTCGCCATTATTGCTCAGTGTCGGCTTAAAAGCACAGGGTTGGATAAACTGTACCTAATATGTCGGCTAATGTTCACTATTCACCATAATAATGCAATAGTGGGCTTTAGAATACACAGAGAGAAACTCGTGTTTGTTCTGGCTCAATTTTTCACAGTATGGACAGACAAATAGAGGTCAGGGTTTGATAGGTTATACCTAATGCCGACTAATGTAAACCATTTGCCTTAATGATTAAACAAGGCGCTCGACCATACCCACGAAAGAAGCCGTGTTTGTCCTGCTTGAAGTATTCACATTAAAGACCAGCTTAGCACAAAGACTTGTAAAGATTGACTAGGATGAAATTTGCAAAGAAAAGCCGCAAAACTGCAAACAGGACAGTTTGGTGGCCTTCCTTGTTTGTCTTTTTACTTTCTTTCTTCATCTCTGTTCGTATTTCTCTATGTCTTTCTATTTTTGTCTTTCTGGTATTTTTTTGTTCTATATTGCCACCCGGTGTTCTGTGCCAGTGAACAGTGGGTTAGTTCTGTGCCGGTGAACGAGGAAGACGAAGACGAGCAACCCGTGCCAGCGGAGACGTCCTTTTTTGTCTCTGAGATTTTCGACAGTCGCGTCCCTTTATACGTTCCTTCGAGCTCTTAGCGCGTGACAACTGGTGGAGGTGCGGGGTACCCTATGCACCAAACCCCTCCTAATACAAGAAGCTCCAGCCCCATACCGATGGTTACGCCTGTTCACCGTGCTAGAATCCGTGGACTGGACCCTGAGTTCGGACTTCTCTCAGAGGAGATGACGGCCCCAACTATTCCAGGCAGCGCCGTCCCAAGCGGCTCGAACCCAGCCGGTATGGAAGGCGCAACGCCATTGCAATATACACTGTTCAAACCAAAAACGCCGAATCCCTTTCATGGTGCTATCCATGAGGATGTTGAAGATTGGCTCGTGCACTATGACTTCGTTGCCGCTCATAACATGTGGGATGACACAGACAAGCTCCGACATGTCTACTTCAGTTTGAATGACGGGGCACGTGTTTGGTACGAAAACCGGACAGGTGTGTTCACGTCATGGGTGGACTTCAAACGCCGGCTTTTTGAAACGTATGCAAGTCCCGATCGCCGAAAGCGAGCTGAACGTGAACTCCAGTGCCGTATGCAAATGCCAATTGAAGGGGTAGCAATGTATGTTGAGGACATGACGCGTCTTTTTCGACGAGCCGACCCTCACATGCTGGAAGAAAAGAAGGTGCGATACCTGATGCGTGGAGTGAAGGAGCTGTTGTTCGGTGGTCTTGTACGCAGCCCCCCCCCCCCCCCCCCCCCAAGACTACGTCAGAGTTTCTTGCTGAAGCCGTCCTGATTGAAAGCACGCTTCGGCAACGGACCCAGACGTACGAGCGACAAGTGAACTTTGCTTCTACTACGGACTACATGGGTGGTCTTGGCGCCCACGTCAACTTCTTCCGAGAGCTCATACGCTCTGTAATTCGCGAAGAACTGCAGAAGTTATCTGTACTCTCAGCGCCCACTGTCAGTTCTTTGTCCGGCATCGTCCGAGATGAAGTTCAGCAGGCACTACGAGAACCGTCCTGTTCCGCGGTTTAGAGCCGCGGCCCCTAAATGACTTCCCTCGCATGTCGTATGCGCAAACTCTGCTCCAGCCAGCACCACCTTTGGCTCCGCTTCCCACCACGGCCCCTGCCATGCTTCCGGCAGACCAAACTCCGCGCCAACCAGCACCACATTTCACTCCGCCTTATACCACAGCCCCAGCCAGGCTTCAGGCAGTCCAAGCGGGCCCGTATCTCAGTGACCGGCGACCGATTTCACGAAAATCAGACGTTTGGCGGGCCCCCGATCGACGTCCCCTTTGCTATCACTGTGGTGAACTTGGGCGCATCTATCGACAGTGCACTTATCGACAGCTGGGACTTTCTGGTTTTTCTGCCAACTCCCCACCTCCTAGGTTCGGCCAGCGGTCTTCGGAAATCGCTGACTACGTTGCTCAGCAGCGCGGATTGACATCTCGGCGCCACTCATGCTCTCCATCACCACGGCGGTTCTCGCCGAATCATCGCACCTATGCGGGCGTGGCGCAGGGCCGGTCACCTAGCCCGCGTCGGGAAAACTCACCTCAGCGACCTTCAAGGGCAAGGCCGCTCAGACTGGTCATGTTCAAGGCCCCCTATCGACGCGGACCGAAGATACCGACGATACATCAACAAAGACATCACCGGCTGATTGCGGAAGAGTTTCCTTAGATATTCCTGTTCTGCTAGATGATCGCGAAGTCAGCGCTTTGGTGGACACTGGTGCGGACTATTCCATAATTAGCGAAAAGCTGGCCGGGTGCGCGTTAAAGAACCCCAGGTGGTCGAAATTTCCGGAGCCCTCCACTACGGCGTCTCTCATAATCATATGGTGGTTTTGGGACGTTAAACCCCACATATCAATCAATCAATCAGCGAAAAGCTGGCCGCCCTTCTCAAGAAAGTAACGACGCCTTCGAAGCGAACGCCGATTCGTACAGCTGGCGGGTATGCCACTCGGTATGTGCACGCCACTCGTCACGTCACTCAATATGTGCATGGCAAGACTGCAAGTCCGCGGTTGTACATTTGTTGCTAGTTTGAGCGTTCTCCGGCAGTGTTCTCGAGACATGATCATTGGCATGGATTTTCTCAGGGAGCATGGTGCTATAATTAACATTCGACGACGTCTAGTCACTTTCGCGACCACGAACGCCACAACAGCTTACGCCGACCCCAGCCACTCCCGAGTGTCTCTTCGCGTCGTCGACGACGCTGTCACGTTACCACCCCGTGAAACTGTTGTGGTTCAGGTGGCGTGGGACGGAGTGATGCACGGTGAAGCAGTCGTAGAAAGCAATCTCTTGCTTTTGCTGTCTCAGGGTGTCTGCGTAGCGAGAAGCCTTGTTGACCTTCGTGATGACACTGCAACGTTTTTGTCACAAACTTCAGCTACGAGCACCGGCACCTTTTTTTCTGGAACTGTCATTGCCTACGCCGACCCAGTCACCAATGTCACCGAGTATTTTGCTTCCGAGGCAATCGGCACTGCTGAAACACCTTTCCGCAGCGTCGACATCAATCCAGCGCTTTCTGAAGCGAATAAGCAGCGTTTGAGCGAGCTGTTGCTGGAGTTCTACACATGCTTTGCACGTTCTTCGAATATACGTCAAAAAGCGATAACGAAACACCGTATTATCACCTTCGACGACGCGCATCCCAAACGGCAGCAGCCTTATCGTGTTTCGCCAACCGAACGGCACGCGATTCAAACGCAGGTTAAGGAAATGCTTCAGGATGGCGTGATACAGCCTTCAAGCAGCCCTTGGTCATCACCAGTCGTTCTTTTGAAAAAGAAAGATGGCACGCTTCGCTTTTGTGTCGACTACAGAAAGTTGAACAATGTCACAAAGAAAGACGTGTACCCGTTGCCCAGAGTCAATGATTCTCTGGACAAGCTGCGACGCGCAAAGTATTTTTCGTCCGTCGACTTGAAGAGCGGTATTTGGCAAATAGAGGTCGATGAACGCGACCGGGAAAAGACCGCTTTTGTAACGCCGGATGGACTTTATGAATTCAAAGTGCTCCCTTTCGGCCTCTGTTTCGCTCCAGCCACATTCCAGCGAATGATGGACACCGTCCTGGCAGACCTCAAGTGGAAAAGCTGTCTCGTCTACCTCGATGATGTCGTTGTGTTTTCAGAAACGTTTGACGAGCATCTTCGTCACCTTCGCAATGTGCCCGAAGCCATTAGATTGGCCGATCTCACACTCAAGCCTGAGAAATGTCATTTCGGCTACGAAGAATTAAAGTTTCTTGGTCACGTCATGAGCGCCATTGGTGTTCGGCCTGATCCTGACAAAACTGCTGCCGTCACCGCTTTTCCACCTCCAACTGACAAGAAAAGTCTTCGACGGTTTCTGGGTCTGTGCGCGTTGTTACGACCGGCCCTGGGGAGCCAAGCAGGGAGAGTTTGGGGGAGAACCGGTTCTTGACCTGACGGTGTCGTCCACCCCCACCTCCCCATTCGGGTTCCTCCTCGCCGGGAGAGCTACGGGGTCTGCTGTGCGTTCGTGACCATATTTGGTAACATTTTGGGGCGCCGGGATCATATATGGACCTCGTGTTGGATTGTGCCACTCCTTGTGTTGTGAGAGGTGTTTTCCCCTCCCTCGTGGCCGAGGTGCCGGCGACACCGTATTGGCTGACGATGCGGACAAGGCGCCCAGTGTCAACAACGTGGCGCTATAAAATGCCGAAGACGTTTTGTATCACACGCACTCTTCTCTCTTTGGGTCAGTTGACCATTTCTCCACATGTAAATAAATCTCTTTTGTTCGTTCGGGCGCTTCTTCTCGCTGAATTGTTGGACGATGGATCCTGCGACGGGGCCAGCTACCGAAAACGAGACCGGCAGGACCCGGAGTCCCAACAGCGTATTACCGGCGCTTTATTGAAAACTTCTCTAACATTGCGGAGCCACTATTACGTTTCACGCGTGATGACACACCCTTTGTCTGGGCTGACGACCAGGAGACTGCCTTTGCGGAACTACAGCACCAGCTCTCTTCCCCTCCCGTGCTCGGCCACTTCGATGAAGATGCTGACACTGAAGTACGCACTGATGCCAGCAATATTGGTCTTGCAGCTATTATGGTACAAAGACAAGATGGCATTGAACGGGTAATAGCCTACGCAAGTCGCACACTGTCTCGCGCGGAATCTAACTATTCCACATTAGAAAAAGAATGTCTCGCGGTCATATGGGCAATTACAATGTTTAGGCCATATCTCTATGAAAGACCATTTAAAGTGGTGACTGACCATCATGCTTTGTGCTGGTTGACCAGTCTACAAGACCCTTCAGGACGACCAGCACGATGGAGTCTGCGCCTACAGAAATTTGATGTCACCATCGTGTACAAGTCAGGCAAAAAGCACGAAGACGCCGACACGCTATCACGAGCACCTCTTAATCCGCCAGTACTAGCGCAGAAGAGGACGGCGCTTTCGTGGCCACTGTCAGCGTACCGGATCTGATGTCTCATCAACGAAATGACGCCGATCTAAGAATGATTATAGATCATTTAGAAGGTGGCACCGCACCCATTCCTCGTCCAATGTCACGAACGTTGCCATCATTTTGCCTAGGAAATGGCGTCTTATACAAAAGGAACGCCTGGTGCTGGTGACAGATCTCATCTTCTCGTCGTGCCTAAAGCCCTCCGCGATGACGTCTTATTAGCTTGCCACGACGAGCCACATCTGGCCATCTGGGCTACTCGAGAACTATGGATCGGGTGCGACAACTCTACTAGCTGGACTAAAATGTCTGCCTGTGTCAAACGCTACGTGAAGGGATGCCGAGAATGCCAGCGTCGCAAGACACCACATTTAAAGCCTGCAGGTCATCTGCAACCGATCGAGTCACCACGTACACCGTTTGAACAAGTGGGGATGGACCTCCTAGGCCCGTTTTCTTTGTCTTCTTCTGGCAACAAATGGATTATTGTCGCAACCGATTATTTGACGTGTTACGCTGAGACGAAGGCGTTGCCACGAGGGACCGCATCTGAAGTTGCCAGTTTTTTTATGCATCAAATTGTGCTACGGCATGGCGCCCCGTCATATGTCATCACTGATCGAGGGACATCATTCACAGCGAAACTCTTGGATGATATATTCAGGTTGAGTTACACAACCCATCGAAAGACCACTGCGTATCACCTTCAGAGTAATGGTTTAACAGAAAGGCTAAACAAAACGCTAGCCGACATGATCTCTATGTACGTGGATGTGCAGCACAAAACGTGGGACGACATCCTGCCGTACGTAACATTTGCGTATAACGCTGCAACGCAGGAAACTACACGCTTCATGACATTCCGACTCGTTTATGGTCGAGATGTTCGAACTATGCTGGACGCTATGATTCCATATGAGGACATCGACAAGCTCGACCAATTAGCCCCCGACATCAATGAGTACATTCAGCACGCTGAGGAAGCACGTCAACTGGCCCGTGTGCACATCCGAACTCAACAGTGCGCTGATGCGCGGGGGTGCAAGATCCACCATCGAGAAGTTAATTATGAACCTGGTGACCAAGTTTGCGTTTGGAGACCCATTAGGCGGTGAGGTCTCAGTGAGAAACTCTTGAGGAAGTACTTTGGACCTTACAAAGTACTCAGACATGTGAGCGACGTGAACTACGAAGTGGTTCCAGACGGAGGCTCACCATCATCCCAGCGCAGGTTACAACGCCCAGAGACTGTACACGTAGTCCACCTAAAACTATACTTTACGCGGTGATGCGAATTTTCTTCTTGTCCCAGCGAACTCTTCATGTGAACAGTGAGTGCTTTTTATTTCCGATTGCCGGGCCCAGGACGCATTTTCTCTCGTGCACTAATTTGTTTATTGTTTTTTATGTTACCTACTTCGACCGAATGCTGTGCACACTTTCGTTTGAGCATCGGGTCGATGATCTCTTGGGAGGTGGAGTAATGCCACCTGGTGTTCTGTGCCAGTGAACAGTGGGTCAGTTCTGTGCCGGTGAACGAGGAAGACGAAGACGAGCAACCCGTGCCAGCGGAGACGTCCTTCTTTGTCTCTGAGATTTTTTACAGTCGCGTCCCTTTATACGTTCCTTCGAGCTCTTAGCGCGTGACAATATGTTTTCTTTATCTATTCTCACTTTCTCGTTACTTCTTTCTATTTGTGCCTTTCCTTTCGTCCATCTCTCTACTATCTTCCTGCATTAGCATATATATTTGTCTTTTTTATATCTGCTTCAATTTCTTTCTATTTCTCTCTATGCCTGTATATTTCTTTCTGTATTTTTCGATTTTCCACCGCCATATACCTTTTTGTATTCTCACTTTCTCTCTCTCTCTACCCGTTCTCTCGCCTCTCTGAGAATGCCTCCAACGCCGGACAAAGATACGCAGCTAAAGAGCGCACAGCTGGCTCGCGTCTTCAAGGAGTGCAGCAGAAGACGAAAAAAAAAAGATGACGAGAACGCACAGGCTTGACGATTATTGTTCTTTTGTCTACATCCCGAGTTTGCCCCGCCGTGGTGGTCTAGTGGCTAAGGTACTCGGCTGCTGACCCGCAGGGCGCGGATTCGAATCCCGACTGCGGCGGCTGCATTTCCGATGGAGGCGGAAATGTTGTAGCCCGTGTGCTCAGATTTGGGTGCACGTTAAAGAACCCCAGGTGGTCTAAATTTCCGGAGCCCTCCACTACGGCGTCTCTCATAATCATATAGTGGTTTTGGGACGTTAAACCCCACATATCAATCAATTATTACATCCCGAGTCGGACAAACAGGGGGCATTTCGTAGCTTCGCTGTGTAAGCAAAGAAAGGTGGCGAGAGCAAATACAAATAATAAGTTACGTACATAAAATAAGAGAGCCTTTGGGGACGTTCTAATGAGAATTAGGTGAGTACTAATTAATGAAAACTGCGCCAAAATGGGCCACAGACAAGGATGTAGTAGTGGGCATCAATTTGTTTGCTGGCTAATCCCCGGTATTCTGCACATATTTGTCTGGAAACGTATTGATGTACGCTGACAATGCCTGCTTTATTTAGCCTTCGAAGCACTGTGGAAGCTAACACTAGAAACACATGCCTACAGTATTGTCAATCTCAAACACACTTTTCAAATGTCATATTTCTTTTTCGCATCGTATCATTCTTCTAGGAAAGAAACTTTTGGTAATTTGAGCTATCTTCAAATCAATAACGTAATCGTGAACATCATTTACAGTACAATGCTATTGAAATATAGCACGTTTATTTCGTAAAAACAACAATTGTAGGAGTGATAACAGGTCCCTGATTGTGCTCTCGTGCTAAAATTTGCAAGTGGCACTTGTGATCTAAAAAGGGGATTTTCAGTATGCCTTTTTTTCTGCTGAAAGCGAAGTGGTTGCCTATCATCTGATTAATCATTATCTGAATTGTTTCTTTACTGATTGCCTAATTACATGTAAGACTTCTATACTGCCTAGTTGCATTGCGCTAAGTGCCATCAGGAAAACAGTAGAGCCAGACTAGCCTATACGGCTATGAGTGTACTCATTTCTTGCAAACTGTCAGTGAAAAAAAAAGAATCAAATGAATAAATTCATTCTCCCTCCATCGGCTGAAGCTTTGTTTTAAGCCGAACAAGAAAAATAGTTACGGCTTTGTTCGGCATGACAGAAGCGATAACTATTCCAGGCACAGAAAAGGTGGTATTATTTATTTTCTGTGAAGGAAAACGACATGAAATTGCCTTTATAAATAAATTCAAGCCATCTCATGTATATGACGAGGCTGCCATACTAAAAATGCATACTGCGACCATGCATGCTTTAAGACTTGTACATTGCTTACTGTTTTCATTAGACCCGCCTTTCAAAACAATATATATGTAATAGACGTTTGCTTATTGCCTTGCAAGGTTAGAGCATTAGGGCACTCCTAAAATTTAAGTCAACCTAGTAACTTGAGTACGCTTGAACTATGTAGCTCCTGCAAAAGCATTCGAAGGTTTGTATGTTGAAACTTTTTTCTCCTTACGCCTAAAAGTTAATTAAATGATAATTGCTTGTGCAGTAGCTTCTATATGCCGAGTGTATTTAGATAAAGAATGCTTGATGTTTGGAGTGGCAGCCGACACATTACAAAACATCTTACAAAGAGCTTCGTTGTTTAATTCATACTGTAAGACTGATGCAAATGGACCCCATTCACCGTAATAATGGAAGTTGGCCAGTCCACCACAGGGTGTCACTAAACGTCTTCTCTCTTGCCTCAGTTGGGTCACGCGCTGCATGGCATCGGTTCTTCGCCATTCTTCACACTGGGTGTGGCCTACCTGGACCAAAACACGCCGTCGGAAAAGGTGTCCCTCTACATGGGTGAGTCACTGTGTGCCGAAGACATCACCGCCACGCAGACGTGGACACCAATTGCCGGCGCGAGCAATTTCTTTGGTTTGTGAGAAATCATTCAAGGAATAGTTTGAGTTCACGCATCACATTATATTGTGTTTCGTTCAGCGGCGTACCGCACTTGGGGAACATTCACGTCATAGTGAGCGAGGGAGTGAGGGAGTGAGTGAGTGAAAACTTTATTGACGTTGTCCGGCGGTATTTATTGGGGTGGGGCTACGAGCACCCTAGCCTATAGGTGATAGCCTCGAGTCCTTGGACACGGGCGGCTTCCTGGGTATGGCGGACTGTCCACAGTTGATCGGCGAGATCGCGGCTGAGCAGAGACGCCTCCCACCGCACCTCACGGTTCGAGACTGCCATGTCTACCCCGGTTCATAGGGGAATGCTGCAAGCTCCCGGTGCACTCCCACAGCATGTGCTGCAGCGTCGCTCTTGCTCCGCACGCTTTACAATCGTCGGATGTATAAATGTCTGGGTAACAGAGGCGCAGGGTCACTGGGTTCGGGTACGTGTGAATCTGTAATAGTCTTCAGGCGACCTTCTGTTTTTGTTTAGTTTTAGTGTGGAGGTGGATATTTTCATTTGTTCAGTCTGTAATGTTGGGTGATGGCTCTGAAAATTGTAATGCGATCCTCCCACGTCCTACTCCCGCACTGTTCTCGATGTCTGCGAGACATCAGGGGCTGCCGGCAGGCTCCGCAGCTTGGCGTGCAAGGCCTCGAGCCGCGGCGTGGGCAGTCGCGTCGCCCGCGAGTGGAAGATCTCTGTGTGCGGGGGTTTATATGAGGAAACTGTCGTTTTCGTGGCAAATATTGCCTTCGCGAGTTCTGAGAATGTGTGCTGCTTCGCGGGAGATGGGGCCGCTGGCGTAGCTGCATAGGGCCGCCTGAGAGTCGCCTATTATCACCTCGGCATCCGTAGTAGCTATCGCGATGGCTGTCGCCGCTTCTTCGGCCAGTTCCGTTTTTCCGCGCGTACTGTAGCGCTCGCGAAGCAAGTTCGTGCGTAATTCGTGGTAGCTACGGCGAATCCACGTTGCCGCTCGCAACGGGCTTCACATCATATGAAAAAAAAAACATCTTAACGTTAACAAGAGGTACTCGACGCACATTAGATCGGTATACGCACCTCTAAGTATACTCAAGTGCACGTTAATATTTGGGTCATTCTGCGCCAACTGTCTTAACCGTGGTTTTCGACAAAATTAATTTCTCCAAAAATTTTGAAAAAAGTACGGATGGACTTTAGTTAGAACATGTTTCCAAAATATTTTGAGTGGCGAAAATGTTTCGGTCACGTAAGCGCCATTTCAACTTGCAAACCAGGTACCGAAAAATATTCACTTTAAATTGACCGTTTCATGCACGGATTGAACACGGTCACCTGAGGCACCATCATAATAATGAACGAAGAGTAGGAAGGGACAGGGGTTAACCCTCTCTTCCCGCACCTCGCCAGGTAAAACTGTCGGACTTTAAATAAAGTCTATTCATTCATTCATTCATTCCTCCAGTTTTCTTGCATCGTCATTTTAATACAGCACTGTTACTGTAACTTCATATTTTTCATTATTTAACGCGTAGGTAATATTTAGTAAAGTGTAGCGTTTTCCTGATGTTCTCTTTTTTGAAAACATTTATATTGCGAAGGCAAAAATTACATTCAGAGAACTCTGAATGAAACATAATATCTCCTAAATTTTCAGTTTTGCCTGTGTGTAGTGCATAGGTTGCTGAACGAAATTCCTGAAGTTGGCAAGAACGCCACTTAGGCTCAGGTTGAGACGTTTGTAGGACCCTATAAAGTGGGCCAAGAAAACATAACCAGAAAAACGGATAAGAGTTGTAACAATAAAACGATTGTCCACAGAAAGTCTAATAAAGTAGTTTTGTTTTAGTTTATTGCAATATTTTGCAATGATGGCAAGTGAAATTCGCCAAGGAGTATCAACATAATAATAAGGCTGTGTGTGCTCTCGCAGGCGTATTCTACGCTACATCGATCCTGGGACCAGCGATGGGTTTTCTGCTTGGAGCGTTTTTCCTGTCAAAATTCACGGACATAACGGTCGACTCCTCAGAGTAAGTGAAGGTGTCGTTTTGGCATGTCTGCACTTGATGAACAATGTCGATGAGTTTGTAAGATGAATGCGAATGTTTAATGACAAATGAAGCCACCTTCACACGGGAATAAAACAAGGAATCCTAAAATATTCATAAATCAACGCTTTACTATATTTTCGGAAATGACATGGGCTAATCATAGTAGTATGTCATACTATAAAATGTATTATATATCGATGCGACGTTATCACGCATATTTGTAGCAATATAACAATGCAGACGCTAAACACAGAAGCTAGAATGCATAAAAGCTTTAGAACTATTTTTATTAGAGGCTGTCCCAGGATATCGACTGACCTCCTATACAAAATAAAACTACACGTCCGGGGTGGTCATACGACGAAGCGGAGAGTCAATACAATAACATTTAGAGGTTAAATACGTGCCCAATTTAGGACTTCACCTAATACTAACATGGGCGCTACGCATGAAGGCTGGCTTTGTGACATGCCTTCTTTTTTCAAACTTGGACCACCGTGTGGCTGCCGTGTTTCTTTTGTGCTAATTGTCATAGAAACCCTCAATTTCACGGTAGAGATACATGAGCAAATATTTTGTTCAGCAGAATATCAGGATTCACGTTTGTGAACAGAAATGTAAGTTGCTTAGTTCACTCAAAGAGGCTCCTAAAACTCTGAGAGGTTGAAATTTCGTTGCATTGTAGTAGATTTGCGGGAGTCTACACTGACTAAAATGATCACTTACCGATGAAAACTTTTTGAAGTGGTTCCTTAATAGTGGAGTTGCACGCTTTTGATCAGTCAAAACAGGACATCACACGTTTCCCTACTTCCCTTCACTATGCTCTGTTCATCTCTCCTCCTGGCCGAGTGCTCCCTAACGTGTGAGAAGGACGAGCGGCGAGCGCGTGCACTTGCGAGCAGACAAACAAGTTCTTTAAAATAGATCAGCAGACCGGAATGGTGGCGTCACGGTGACCGGTTAGGATTCTCAAAAGGCCAGAAGAAGAGAAGAGATTGCGTCTTCAAATTCGTGAAGCGCCCACGGCTCGTAGCATTACCGCGTTTGGCCTTGTTGATCGTGACGGCGTTCGGAACCCGACGCGCGTTTTTACTGAGAATTTTAAGAAAATATTGGAGGTGTTGAAGAATACCTTTGGCGTTATTAGTAGAACACAGTCTCTATAAAATCAAAGGCCAGATTTTTCGTCCACTTTGTGTTATGCAAAATGTGTAGCGCAGCTGGTTGCCATGTGAGAAAAAACACCACTCAGTCAGCCCTTTCTCTCCTTAAGTTGTCTGGACTGTGAACCTTGAAAAATATTGTGAATGGTTATAAAATGTCAAATATGCGAGTGAATTCAGATAATTCTTTGGGTTGCTGTGAGAGAAAGGGGATAATACATCTGTCAAATGAGGTCGCGATCATATTCAGAGTATGCAGCTTGAGACAAATAAATTGAAATCAGTGTTAGCAGGACGTGGAGGACAAACCACTGTTTTTTTTTTTTCAGGCTAGGCATATCATCTACAAGCAACAACTGGGTGGGCGCCTGGTGGCTTGGATTCTTCGGAGCCTCCATCGTCACCTTCTTCACCGGCCTCCCCATGTCCTGCTTCCCCAGATTCCTGCCAAGTAAGTGCTACATATTTCGGTATCTTTGGCTCTACGCAGACTTTCCTTGATACACTATTAAGTTGGTAAACTGTGCCGCATTTTGCAGTGACTGTCGCTTTCCACGCTTTCAAGCGTGGTTAATTGTGCCGCATAGTAATGATTGCGATCTATACCACTTTCGGAGTCTTAGTCAGAAAGCAAGCGCACCTAATCATGCAGGGCGTCCTGTATATAGCTTAAGTTGTCGTATCTTCACTGTTTGCGCGACGCCATTGTGCGCTGCGACTTACAACTTTGCATGCCGTCATTAACTGCGTGCGTGCTGAACTCCATTAGTCACTGATGTGTGAATCGCCGATATGCAAAGCACCGATGCGTGGCAGGGCCCTCTACCATGCAGGGTTATTTTCCTGAGTTGATATTGCTCTGGACACTAAGATCTCTTCTATGCCTTCTGTTTCTGCGCCACTTTCTTGTGACGGCATTTCCACTGCCACGGCCCATATTGCTCCATCTGGAGCCTTCGTCTCTCGCAAGAACTTCCTTCTTCATTTTGCAGTTATCACAATAGAAAGCAGTTGTAATAAGTGGTTCTTGAAGAAGAGGGAGGCAATTTCTGTCTGCCTTGTAGGCACACGGCTAAGCTCTTTCTAGCAGGTGGGGCTAGGAGATAAAAAAAAAAACAGTAGAGAGAGATAAAAGACAGGTAACTTGCCGCATAATAATAATAATAATAATAATAATAATAATAATAATAATAATAATAATAATAATAATAATAATAATAATAATAATAATAATAATATAATAATAATAATAATAATAATAATAATAATAATAATAATAATAATAATCAGCTGACTACGTCCACTGCAGGACAAAGGCCTCTCCCATGTTCCACCAGTTAACCCAGTCATGTGCTTGCTGCTGCCAATTTATACCCGCAAACTTCTTAATCTCATCTCCCCACCTAACCTTCGGTCTCCCCCTAACCCGCTTGCCTTCTCTTGGAATCCAGTTACGGAATCATGATTACGGAGTTAGACAATGAGAGCAGAAAGGTGGGTCTTGAAATGAATCTGCAGAAAACGAAAGTAATGTACAATAACCTCGGAAAAGAGCAGCGCTTCGAGATAGGTAATAGTGCACTTCAAGTTGTAAAAGACTATGTCTACTTAGGGCAGGTATAACCGCGGAGCCGAACCACGAGATTGAAGTAACTAGAAGAATAAGAATGGGGTGGAGCACATTTGGCAAGCACTCTCAAATTATGACAGGTAGAGTGCCCCTATCCCTCAAGAGGAAGGTATATAACAGCTGTATCTTGCTGGTACTTAGCTACGGAGCAGAAACCTGGAGACTTACAAAGAGGGTTCAGCTTAAATTGAGGACGACGCAGCGAGCAATGGAAAGAAAAATGGTAGGTGTAACCTTGAGATACAAGAAGAGAGCTGAGTGGATTAGGGAACAAACGGAGGTTAAGGATATCATAGCTGAAATCAAGAAGAAGAAATGGACATGGGCATGGCATGTAGCGCGTAGACAGGATAACCGCTGGTCGTTAAGGGTAACTAACTTGCCGCATACTAGTGAAAAAAAAAAAGATAAGAGAAGAGATATGAAAGAGGGGGGACACTGTCGAAAGAACCCGAGGACGGGGAACCACTCGGCGAGAGCTACACGGTGTCAGGAGATCGCGTACGACGGACCGGTCGGCGAGAGCTACTCTGTCGTCGGAGGTCGTGAACGACACAATAGTTCATCATGGATTCCAGTCACTGAGTAATAGTCTGCTGCAGTGTCATCTATTCCGCGAACTCATTTTATTCTCCACCAATCTTCATTCGGGGCGAACTCGCAAGTCACCTTGGGGTTAATAGGTTCGGGTTGTTATTGTCACCCGGTTCGACATGTCACGTCAACAGCATTACCTCAGCTACCAGTGCTATTTCTTGACATCCAGAAATATTGCTACCAGTGCTATTTCTTGACATCCAGAAATATTCATTCCATTGATTCATTTTAAACTTCCCGGCGCTCAGCGTACGCAACTCTCGGAGCTGCTCCATCGGTTGAGGACGACATTCTACCATAACCATCTATCTGTGGATCACGGATGTGCATTAGTTCACCCCATTGACACGGGCGCCCATGCACTTTCGTGCCAGCGTTCTTATCGAGTGACTCGCGCGGAACGCCATGACATTGGTGCTCAGTTGATTGACATACTTCAACATAGAGTAAAAGAGATTTCACGCAGTGTTTGGGCCACACGAGTAGTACTAGTGAAAAAAAAATACATTAGCATTACAATAGGCATTGATTGTAAGCGCCTTAAAATGACGCGAAAAATGTTTTCCAATTCCTTAGCAAGTATGACACCATCACTTGCTTGCAAAGAGTGGACTTTTGTCTGGCATCTTCGATCGGAATACAAGCAGGTCTCTTGATGAAGCCGACCACATATTCATTGATTGATATGTGGGGTTTAACGTCCCAAAACCGCCATATGATTGTGAGAGACGCCGTAGTGGAGGGCTCCGGAAATTTTGACCACCTGGGGTTCTTTAACGTGCACCCACCCCCATCCAGTGCGAGTAGAGTTACAAAGGTTTGTCGCATGCTGCAATTGTACAATCTCTTGTATCGTCCCGATGAAAGCGCTGAAAGCTAAGCAGGGAGGGGTGGCAGGGGCCAAGAAACTACCACGCCTCCTGACCTTGAGCACTTCTTTTGCCTCCGAATGCGGGGCTTTTTTCAGTGTGATCGCGTGCGCACGCGTTGACAAGTAGTGGCCTCCCGCGGCAATCGTTGTAACTTGTTTTTTCGCTCACAGATGCACAGACGATTTTTCACTCACAACCAACGGGGATGACGCCAACGGCGGAATTTCTGCGACACGAGCTCTCTAACGCTTTCGCGTTAAAAAGTGTGTGGTGGTAACGTGGGCGCAGTACGTAGAGGTGTGGGTCGAGTGCTGGAAAACATGGGGGGAGCCCTTAGCACGGCAGTAGTTAGGCTTCTGGTGATAATGATGATGAATAGGAGCAACACGTGTCTTGGAATAACAACATGCAAAACAGCTGCGCCCGAAAGGACATGAGGGGCCCGTGGAAATGTGAACATCTGAGAAACTAGCGAACACGATGATGTTGTGATTCCGCCTCTGCTTCTCATTCTTCTGTCTAGCTGCTCAGCAGAGAGAGAAGGACCTCTCAGAGATACAGAGGAAGAAGAGACAGAATTCGAAGAAATCCCTTACTGTACCAGTGGTAGCCCCGAGTGTGGAACCAGCCATAGCGGCACCAGATGGCCAGGTTTATTTCAACCCAGACCCCGATCATGCACATGGAAGTCGCCGCGCCTCTGTGAATCTGCCACCACCGGCCACTGGGGCTACAACAGAGGGCCAGGGGCCGCAGACCTCGCGGACCAACGGAGCGCTGACACCGGAACTTTCAAAGCGCAGCCTCAAAAACCACATAAAGAGGCTCAGCACCAACGCCACCTTCTTGTGCCTGACATTTGCTGCAGCCGCTGAAGGTAAGCCTTAAAACTCACCTTTGTGTTATAGTGGTTACTGTACTCAACTGCTGACCCGAAGGCCATGCGATTGAACCCAGGCATTGACGGGTTCGTTTCAATGAGGCATAATGCTAGAGACGCGTGCAGAAACAAGCTCACGTAGTCTAAATTATTGAAGCGTTCCGCTACGATGCTCCTGATGGTCATTTTTGGATGTAAAGCCCCAGCAGTTATATAACATAATTATGCTTATTAAATAATAACCTATGGCCGTAAGTGACCACTCTCACTTACTGAAACTGCAAAGCATTGCGAGTACAAGACAAAATGTTCCGGATTATCGAACGCGCTGACTTGCTCTCGGCAACATTTCCGAAGACCTTCGTTTGATGAGCACTGTGCGTACGGTACAGTGCAGACAGTATAGTTTCGACACTAAATGACAAGAGCGCATATCTCTGTGGTGAGTTTAATGTTTTGCAGCGAAACTGTTCATCTTTACACCACAATGATTTTGTATCTGTGAGCGAAAAGAAAAAACACGTGGCGAAAGAAGAATATTTCAGGCCCCTAAAGTTCTAACATGCGTATGCTGGATTCTCTGCTGGCAAATACGCACTCCATGAGTTTTCACCGGAGGCGATGATGGAAGGCTAGGACCGTAGGCAAATTTTTTGGAGTGGAAAGTAAGAAGGGGTTTTATCCTTTTAAAATAGTCATTTTTTCTCAATATGCAATCGAAAAAATTCGGGAGAGCCATGGACAAAGCGTGACACCCCCTGGCTACGTCTTTTGAAGGGCAGTTGGAGAGGTGCGCAGACGAGCCAACGAGCGCATTCGATGTTTACTCGAGCGCAACTCCCCCCCCCCCCCCCCCACACACAAATAAGTTGTGGGTGATTTGGGACACTGTAACTATTGGAGGCAAATGGCATATTTTCCTTTCTGCTTGGGCATACAGCATATAGTTCAAGATTTGTTTATGTGAGGATGGCCCCAAAACGTGGCTGATCCCACCTTCATAGGTGTTGGTATAACGCGAACGTAAAAACGATCTTTACATACCTAGTGGAATGATCACTGCAATTATTACAACTGCAATTGATATAATGATTGTATGTTGATATTAGTTGATATATGCTCGAATTGATATTTTATTGTATATGATATAGCTTGCACAATGTCAATGTGCTTTTAGCAGCTATAATCTCGTCCAACGTGGACGTACCTACTGTTGACGCTTAGCGGCACATCTCCATCACGGTGGTGAACGTCCATGAACAATTAGTAAACAATCCTAAATGGAAGCTGTAATAGTCAAAGGTGAGAGCTTAATTACTGAAAGCTGCTTGAAAGCCAGAAAGTGTCTCTGATTGCATAGAAAACTTGGATTAAGGTAACCATCCCACGTCGTGTTAAAGAACGATGTAATGCTATCGCTGGACTGCACGGAAAGACACCGTGCTTCGTGTCCACCTTTTAGCCTGGCCGCAATTTTTCTCCGGTTGAGTGTAAGCGAGGAATGCGATGAGACATTCACGCGAGGTGGGCGTGCCATCTTGGTCACGCCCTTGCGGAGTGTTCAGGCGTTTTTAAAACGCGCTGAATGAGACGGAACGTAGCACCGACGTGTTACAGGAGTGACTCGCGTAGGCCGCGGTCATGATGCATTACATTGCTTTCCTGCTTCCAGATTCCACATGACCTTGTTACCAAACTCACTGTGAGAGGAAAGTGTGAGATATAATGGCTTGTTTCTAATGTCTACAGAGCGTGTGACCATGGTGCAGTGAACAGCGTGCCAGGTATCTGTAGGCGCTGAATGAGAGGCCATGCGTTCGACTTTTTAGGGATGAAGCTCCTCAGGGTGTGGGTCGTTACCTCGTAATAGTATTATGCTGTAGTAGTAGCCACTTGTAGTTTTAAGAATTGCTCACTAGATGGCATTGTGTGCATATGTACTTGCTAGGAATGCCGCCAGATGGCGTTAGAGGTTTTGTATAGAAATTCACACCTTATTCACAGATTGAATGATGACAGACAGGGCGAAGCGTCTATATGTCCGTCCGTCACAGAGAGACATGCAGACAGATATGCAGGCATACATACAGATGGACGGACGGACAGATGCTTCACTTCACTCATCATCATTCACTCCTTAGATATGCTGTGAATTTTTCTTTATTGCAATGGTGGTACATTTGATACATATATACATAATCAAGTGCCACACATCACTCACCAGCGTGCGTAAGACAGGGTGCACTTACTTACTCTTTTTGACAGTTTCAGTGTGGCTAATATACCAAGAATTTCATCGCTTGCCCCTCAGTACTCCAACACTTCTCTGAGCTTCGAGACCTGTTGAACAAAACGGGCGTCAAGCGATCACACTTACGAATATACATTTCGTATATTCTTATGTGACCTGTATATGCTATAAGACCTAGAAACATGAAATGGCAATGAGAGGCACTATTTTTTGATTAGACAGAAAACGAATACCGTAGGCGTCAATTCGTAGATCCTTCTTTCATGTTCTCTGCAGGACATCCCAATAAAATGGAATATCCCAACAATCAATAAAAACGTGTTCCACAGTTTCGGCTTCGTTACACAAAAGAGAGTTCACTCCCCAATGCACAAACATACCTCCTTGTTCAAGCCACGCTTCTAAAGGTAGCGTGCTTGTGTGCAATTTAAAGACAGACGGTTTAACGCTAGGTGGTACGAAAACAAAGAAACTAAGCTCTGGTTGTTCAATGACTAACACCGCGAGCTGTAGAGCTAGAGGTCAGCTGTTCGGTAATGCACGTCAGAAAACAGTTTTCTGTATTTTTCTCCGAGGCTTTGGTATTTATATACAAAAAATATATGTATACGGGGCATGATGGCGGCGATTATGGCAGACGGCAAAAAGCAGCTGAGAGTAGCCATAAAGTGCTACAAATACGTGAATTTCTTTCTTAGTTCAGTGTATTTTAGTTCAGTGTATAAAATTTTCAGTCTTTGTTGGCATGAATTCCACTCACGTGATTGGTTGGCCATCCTTTATATCAGGCACACGCTCTTTGTATGACTGGCATTCTTACATCTTAATTTTACAAGGGGCAAACTGCGGTAACCTCATGGTGACCCAAAATGTTGTAGTCAGGTTAAAAACTTTACTTTCATATATACTTCAAAAGAAGCATGGTAAAAGTTGGTAATGTTTTGAACGTTTTGGCAATATCTGTCACTTCCTTGCTCTGTACGACTTACCTCCAAATACTTGGGGCTCTCTAAAACATTTTACGGTGAAAGATCCTGCGATTGCTGAGTGGTAGAATCAATACAGTGCTTTTATTTCTTCCAGCAATGATCGGGTCCGGACTCACTGGATTTGCAACAAAAATCTTCATTTCCATGTTTGGCGTCTCTCCCACTCGGGCCTCAAGTCTTTTGGGTACGCACATGCGCCAACGTGCCAACGCGAATACTTCACGTGTTATTTAGAGAGCACGAGACGGTCTGTGTTGACTCGTAACATGTGTGCGACTTCATGGCACAGCAAAACATAATTTAGGATATTCATTGGTATCAGCATACACAATAATGAAAAGATGATAAGCTGGCAAGAATGGTTGCATTAAAAAAATTAAGCAGCATCGATGGTATCTTTAGTCCTATTGCTACTTACACTGGACATGTCCGTATTTAATGTGTGTGTGTGTCAAAAGGCATTTGAAAAAAAATTGTTTGGAGCCACACATTATTTTTTGTTCCTTTCCAGAAGAATAATCAACATTTAAACTTTGTGTTTTGATTTGAACTATTCACCGTCACAAAGAAGCTGCGTGCCGGATACGTACTTATCTCTGTACAAAGCACTAAAAAATGGTAGGCATAGCCACAATACAACACTCTTAAAGTATGCTTAGACTTTATCGCCTACAATGCACTTACTGGGTTTGTATTTTTCGGACTACAACATACATGCAGCACATACAGAATCGCCATGTTCTTAAGAAATACAGGAAATTACAAACTGAATACAGAAGAATAATTTGATTGATATGTGGAGTTTAACGTCCCAAAACCACCATATGATTATGAGAGACGTAATGGAGGGCTCCGGAAATTTAGACCACCTGGAGTTCTTTAACGTGCACCCAAATCTGAGCACACAGGCCTGCAGCATTTTCGCCTCCATCGAAAATGCAGCCGCCTCAGCCGGGATTCGATCCCACCGATCTGCGGGTCAGCAGCCGAGTGCCTTAGCTACTAGACCACCGCGGCGGGGCTGAATACTGAACAAGCCAGAATAGAAGTTTGTATTCCGTCACGCCACGTGTCTTGGTCAAAATTCTTAGCCCTTCTGTTGCCAATCTTTTGACTACATTCAAATCAAACAGTTATATAACAATAATAATTGTTGGGATTCAACGTCTGAAAGCCATGATATGATATTCAGGATACTGTAGTGGAGGGTTCGGAAAATTTCCACAACCTAGGACGTTGAACGTGTACTTAAGTTCAAGAACTAGGGCCTAAAACATTTTGTCTCTATGAAAAATGTGGTCGTTGCGGCTGGGAAGGGTTCTATGCCGCCACCATCAGGAGAGCAATTGAAAAACCATCACGACTACACCATCGTGGTGGGTAAAATAAAGTGATAAAAAAGAATAGTGAGAGCCTAAGGAAATTGCTCTTCAATAAAAATACCTTACGAATACTAATCTAGTAAACAAAATTCAATTGACACATTTTAATACATTCCGCAAACACGAGGTCATCAGGCAGATTCATAAATAAGTTGCAAACTATAGCACAGAGATGAAGCAGTGGCTACGATGCTCGGCTTCTGACTCGAAGGTTGCGGGTTCGATACCGGCCACGGCAGTTGCATTTCGATGGAGGCGAAATAGTACAGAGGCCTGTAGACTGTACCATGTCAGTTCAGGTTAAATAACATCAGTTGGTCAAAATTTTCGGAGCCCTCCACAACGGCGTCCCTCATAATCATATCTTGGTTTTGGGACGTAAAACCTATTATACTGTTACAGCACAGAGAACAAAAAACGCAATTTTTAAGCTTTATTTCTTATATGCCTCAACTGCTCGTATAAGTCGTGTTCGACATTGTCCGTGCCACCGCACGCTGTATTCTTCCATAACAAGACCATTGGCGCACTTGTTGCCATGGCTTGTGGATCTCATGTTTTTGGCGCAGGTATGGTGGCGGTGCCCAGCGCGTGTGGTGGCACCGTTCTCGGTGGATACGCCATCACCAAGTTTAACATGAAGTCGCCGACCATCGTGCGATACTGCGCCATCCTGGCGCTGGTTCCGTGGTTCACGATGTTCGCGTTCCTGCAGTCATGTCCCAGCAGGCACAGCGCGATCATGAATTCCACCGGCGCATCTAGTGTGTAAGCTTTTCTTTCTTTTTCATTCGCCAAGGAGCGAGATGTGCAGTTTAGCGGAGTTAGTTATGATAGCGACATAAAGTTTATAACATTTGATGCCTTATCATACTCTGCAAGCAGCCAGTGATGCAGAAGCTCAACAGTGCATCATCATGAGCCCGACTGAGCCCACTGTGGATCAAAGACCTCTCCCATGATGCGCCAATCGACCTCGTCCCGTGCTTTCTGCTGCCACGCTCAACCTGCAAACTTTTTAATCTCATCGGCCCACCTAACAGTTCACAATCAACAGTTCAACCATTACTGGCGTCAAAATGATTATCGCAACAGAATCAACACGTGACGAAATCATCGGTCATGACTTCATCAGTACGTCGCATGGTGACCTAACCTCATGACATCATCGCTTGTTGAAAGGTGGGCCGATATTGGAGGCACGTTAGATGCAGAAAGCCAACAGGCTGGTGGGTGGGTCTTTATTATTATCTGGGAAACCAAGATATTGTGACGGGGCGAGGTCTAGGCTTACAGGATAGCGTCCACCGAGAATCTGCCGCCGAAGATGTTTGGGTTGCCTCTCGCGCAAGCGCCTAACGCACAGGCGTCTTCTTCATCTTCGCTAAGTGCCACGCTTGCTCCTGTCGATGATGCATCGTAACATCACTTCCCTGCGCCGGAAGCGCCGTCACGACGCTTAGTATGGCGGCGACGAACGAGGAGGGTGATACGGTTTGAGTCTGGAAACGTGTACAACGTCTGTCTGGAGTGAGGTGGTCGAAGAGGCATTGTTTAGGGGTGCGATCTCGTAGCTTACGTCACTAAGTTGTCGTAACACTTTGTAGGGGCCATGGTAGTGTGATAGTAGCTTCTCTGATAAGCCGACTTGGCGGTTTTGTGTCCAGAGAAGTACCAGAGACCCCGGCGAGAAGTGCACGCTCTGGTGGCGACTGTCATAGCGGTCTTTTTGGTGCGCTGGCGACAAGTGCCGCCGATCACGGGCAAGCTGACGGGCTGCATGGGCTCGAGAAACGACATCGCTGGCGTACTCGGTAGACAAGGGGGCAGCCGAAGGAAGGAGCGTGTCAAATTGTAATGCTGGATGTCGGCCAAATAGCAAATAAAACGACAAATAACTAGCTGTGTCGTGCCGGGAAGAATTGTACGCGAACGTGACAAAGGGGAGTGCTTTGTCCCAGTCACGGTGATCTGGCGAAACGTACATTGACATCATCTGCGTCAGCGTTCGGTTCAGACGCTCGGTCAATCCATTTGTCTGTGGATGATAAGTGGTGGTAAGCTTGTGCTCAGTGGAGCAGGCGCGGAGAATGTCATCCACAACACGTGAAAGAAAGTACCTTCCTCGATCAGTAAGCAGCTGCCGCGGAGCGCCGTGATGAAGAATGACTTCATACAAGAGAAAGTCAGCGACGTCAGTGGAACAGCTTGTCGGCAGTGCTTTAGTGATGGCAAAGCGTGTGGCGTAGTCTGTGGCGACTGCAATCCATTTATTTCCGGAGGTGGACGTAGGAAACGGGCCCAACAGGTCAAGGCAAATACGGAAGAATGGTTCCGTCGGTATGTCAATGGGCTGTAGGAGGCCAGATGGTAGCACAGAGGGGCGCTTGCGGCGTTGGCAGCAGTCGCAAGCAGTGACGTAGTGAACCACAGAACGATACAGTCCGGGCCATAAAAAGCGACGTCGCACACAATCGTATGTACGAGAGACGTCTAGGTGACCGGCTGTAGGTACGTCATGTAGTTTTTCGAGAACGCTGGTACGCAGGTGATGGGGAAGCACGAGTAGTAATTCCGGGCCATCAGCGTTGAAGCTGCGACGGTACAGAATGTTGTCGTGCAGTTCGAACGGGCGAACGGAAGGGTCTGTTGGAGCAGAGGTCAGACGCTCGATGATGGAGAGTAATGACGGGTCACATCGTTGTTCGGGGGAGATATCACCCAAAGCGTGGATGGAGAGAACGCAGGGGTCTGAATCAAGGTCTGTCAAGTCGGGCGTTTCACCGGATAACGTGACAAACAGTCTGCGTCTGTGTGCAGGCGTCCCGACTTGTAGTGGACCACGAATGAGTATTCTTGCAGATGGAACGCCCAGCGACCAAGACGTCCAGATGGGTCCTTTAGCGATGACAGCCAGCAAAGAGCGTGATGGTCCGTAACAACGGAAAAAGTTCGGCCATACAGGTAAGGCCTGAATTTCGCCGCGGCCCACACTAAAGCTAGGCATTCACGCTCAGTGATGGAGAACTTCCGTTAGGCAGGTGAAAGAAGACGACTGGCGTAAGCAATCGCGCGGTCCTTCCCGTTCTGTCCTTGGCCAAGACCGCTCCAATTCCATGGCCACTGGCATCGGTCCGAAGCTCTGTAGGTGATGCAGGGTCGAAATGGGCCAGTATTGGTGGCGTAGTCAGCAGATGGATAAGAGCCGAAAAGGCGTCCGCTTGCTCTATACCCCATGCGAAGGGAACGTCCTTCTTTAAGAGATCAGTAAGCGATCGAGCGGTCTCGGCGAAGTTGCGGACAAATCGACGAAAATAGGAACATATACAAAATTTCGGACGTCCTTGGTTGAGCGTGGTTCAGTAAATTGTTGTACTGCTCGCACCTTTTCGGGATCTGGTTGAACACCATCGGCACTGACAAGGTGGCCGAGTATGGTGATTTGGCGACGTCCGAAATGGCATTTTGCAGAATTGAGTTGGAGAGCAGCTCTTCGAAAAACATCCAGAACGGCTGACAGACGTGTTATATGGCTGTCAAAGGTAGGTGAAAAGACGATGACATCGTCCAAGTAACATAAGCAGATGACCACTTATATCCTCGGAGAAGGGAGTCCATCATGCGCTCGAAAGTTGCCGGCGCATTACACAGTACAAACGGCATGACTTTGAACTGGTAGAGGCCATCGGGCGTAACGAAAGCGGTTTTTTAACGATCCACGGGGTAGACGGAAATTTGCCAATAGCCCGACCGAAGGTCGATAGACGAAAAGTATTGGGCACCATGGAGGCAATCGAGGGCGTCATCAATCCGAGCAAAGGGTAGACATCTTTGTGGGTCGCTTTATTTAAATGGCGATAGTCCACGCAAAAGCGCCAGCTGCCATCCTTATTCTCAACGAGCATGACTGGGGAGGCCCAGGGGCTGGATGAGGGTTATATTACGTCTTTAGTAATCATTTTGTCCACTTCATTCGGAATTACTTGGCGTTCCTTGTGAGATACGCGGTATGGACGCCGCCGTATAGGACTGGCATCGCCAGTGTTGATCCGGTGAGTCACTGCCGTTGTTTGGCTGAGAGGGCGGTGGTCAAAGTCGTAAACGTCTCTATATGATGTTAGCAGACTACGGAGGCTGGCAGCTTGCACTGCAGTGAAGTCGGGAGCAATCATCTAGTTATTGTCATCTGCAGGCAGAGTGTAATTGCGGCCGAGACAGGTGGATGTAGTATCGATGTCCAAAATAGTAATGTTGCAGCTGTCAAGTGGAGATAGAGTGGCCAAAGACATGTCTTGCGGAATAACTTGAGTCAAGAGACTCACGTTGAGTAGTGGTATAACAACTGTATTATTAGCGACGGAGACAACAGTGTGAGCAAGGACGACGTCTCGGGCCATCAGTACGTATACTATAGGAGTGACGAGGTAGTCACCATCGGGCACATGACGTGAGCACGACAAAGTGACATATGTAGCAGCTTGCGGAGGCAAGCGAACGTAGTGACGACAGCATAAACGGGGAGAATAGTCAGCTGCAAAATCGGCAAACTGCGGCAGTTCAAGCTGAAGACCACCAGTGGCACAATCAATGAGCGCAGAATGACGTGACAGGAAGTCCAAACCAAGTATTAGGTCATGAGGACACACTTCAATGACGGCAAACTGAACTAATGTAGGATGACCGGCAATGGACACACGGGCCGTGCACATCCCTTGAACATCAGGGGTCCTCCCATCAGCGACAAGAAGTTTGTGGGAAGCGGCAGGTGTGAGCACTTTATGTAGGCGTCGGCGAAGGTTCGCGCTCATTACAGAAATGTGCGCTCCAGTATCTATAAGGGCAGAAATAGCCACACCGTCAACGTCTAACAAATTTTGTCTAGTCGGAAGCGTCAAGAGAGGATTTGTGGAGGGAGTCGAAAATGCAGCGTCACCTCCGGGCGCTGCACCCTTTAGTTTTCCGGGTAGGCAGGAGCGGGGTTGAATGGGGACGACGGCCTGCGAGTCTGCGGTGAGCGAGACGACTGGCGACGTCCTGGAAGTGAACGCGACTGACGACCATGCGGTGACGGAGATTGGCTGTTGAACCTTCTGTAGTTGTTTTGCGGAGAAGGCTGCGCAGCAGACGCGAAGCAGGTGCGGTCCTGTCAGTAGTGAGGTTGAGATGAAGCCCGAGGTGGCGAGGACCAGCGGTAATTGCAGTAACGGACGACATGACCGATACAGTGGCAATGAAAACAAATTGGTCGATTGTCGACGGTTCTCCACGCAGCAGGGTCGCGAGACCGGGCCGTAAACTGCTGCTCGTGATAGGACGAGGGTGGACGCCATGAAGCTCGCTGCGGGCTGGGCAAAACGCACACCGAGGGAATACCTGTGCTGGCGAGTTCTTGGCGGACAATGGCTTTAACTATGTTAGCAGTGAGTGGTGTGGTGTCACTTGCAGCGGTGTGAGCCGGAGCAGAGGCAATGGCTTCAAGTTCGCGCCGTACAATTCGGGTCACCTGATCCGATGAATCTAGAGGTGGTGGCTGTGTTCTTGCACGGTCTTCGCAAGATGATGTTGCAGCCGTATTCGGAAAGCGTCTAAACACGCTGTTAATCCGCCGGCACTTCGCTTGCTCAAAGCGCCGACATTCTTTTATAATGGCACCCACTGTACAAAAATGTTTGCAGATGAGGAGGTTGAATGCGTCATCCGCAATCCCCTTGTCCGACCTTGTCAGCCTCCGGCATCTCGGCATTGGCTTTGCGACACAACGATAACACATCTTCTATATAGGAGACGTAAGACTTGGTCGAGGTCTGCGCCCGACACGCGAGCATTTTGTTCGCGGCCATTTTTCTTCCAATCGGCTTTCCGAACAGGTACAACATTTTCTCCTTGCACACTTCCAACTCCCTTGTTCTGTTTCATGGTTCTCATACCACAATTTGGTGGTTCCCCTAAGATAGAATAACAGGTTTGCCAGCATAAGAGTCGGGCCCCATCTGTATCGAGTACTCACACGTTCGTACTCTGCCAGCCAATCTTCAACGTCAACTTCATCTGAATCGCCGGAACCGCTGAACGTGCCAGGATCCCGCGGGGGTTCGAGCACGACGGTTGTGGTCGCAGAAGGAGATGTAGTTACCGCATCATCTCCAGCCGCAGGAACACCAGGAGCAGATGCAGACGCCGTACCCTCCATCATCGTTGTGGAATGACCCTTCAAACGTCGGCCACTGCGAAGTTCCGTTGCGAGGCGGTTACCCAGAACCTCCATCAAATGTGACGGGGCGAGGTCTTGGCTTACAGGACAGCGTCCACCGAGAATCGGCAGCCGAACAAGATGCCTGAGTTGCTTATCGCGCAAGCGCCTAACGCACAGGCGTCTTCTTCATCTTCGCTAAGTGCCACGCTTGCTCCTGTCGATGATGCAACGTAACAATATGATAAAGGGAGACGCCATCATGGAGGGCTCCGGCAATTTTAGTCATCTGGTGTTTTTTAACGTGCACTGACACATGGAGCTCTATCATTTCACCTCAATCAACATAGGACCACCACGGCTGGTATCGAACCCGCGACTTTCAGAATCAGCCACCGAGCACCAAAACCACTCTTCCACCGAGGCGCACTCAGGCGGGGGGTGGCATCTAAACAATAAACCGAGAGTGAAAGAAAAAAGTGCTTTCGCCACCGAGTAGGCTTAAAAAAATACATAACGGACCGCTTGAACCTATTGATTTAACCTGCGTTCTGTAACTGGGTCTAGTCTCCACAATGATGTCAAAACTTCCGGCCCTGTCGAACGTGTAATAAATACGTGCCCTGAATCGGTAACTATTGTTTGTACGAATAGTAGTAGGGCTAGGTGTACGAACCCATAGTAACTTCTCTCCCGGTTTCAAGCATTATTGACGTCTGTTGACATTGAGTGATGACTAAGCTACAAGTCATGCTTTCAAATCGAGCCCAGGTGCCGTTTTGACAGAAGTGTTGGTGAGCCGCTTCGTTTATTCAAAGCTTAAATGCAACACTTGAGTAAAACGCAAAACAGTTGCGTCACTCATTTTTCTTATTACATTAACTTATAGTTGGAGCTACAAATTTAGCGTGAATCATGTCGATGACTGGAGAGGAGTTAATTGATGTTAAGTTTCTTCTTCACTGTGTCACAACGAGTACAGTGACATGCACAAGTGAAAATACTGTATGAAAGCTTTGGTTCTTGAAACAAAAACAAATAAAGAACAGCTTACAACAACATGAACATAATAAAAAAAAAAGAACACTGCAACGTGCGTCAACAAAATTTGTATAATAAGTGGGTACCTGAATTGTTAAATAAACCAGCTGATACGCCTATCATCTGATTAGGCTGCATTGCCATATGACAGTCCTATCAGTTGTTTCTAATGGTCAATGACATAACAATTTATTCGCTGGCTATTGTTCACGTACAATAAGAGAAGTTGTAGAAATGCCCAATGTTACACGCAGCCCGAACCTGGTATTCGGTGACCTGGAACGAAGCTGCAACGCGCACTGCAACTGCTCCGGAGTGGATTACAACCCTCTTTGCGGAACCGATAACTTGACCTACTACTCGCCCTGCATCGCCGGATGTGCGGAAGTGAGACGCTATGAGAAGACCAAGGTGAGCGAGTGTTTCTGCGCATGTTTACATTGAAACAGCGCACGGAGCTTGCGCCGCTTCATAAGCAAACATGAACTATAACAAAGTCGCCCAACTAACAACGTTACAGAATTTCATTCTGCGCAGTTGTTACAGCGCGTAACCCTTTAGTATAAAACGAAAGTTCGATGTCGATCAGAATGTCAGTCGAGAGAATGTTCAATGGCGACTACTGCTTTCGTCAGAACAGCTGACGTCGGCAACTACTTGCGAGGAGTAGAATAGGGAACCAGCGCTGGAGTTTTCTCGGCCGCCCTTGTGGTACGAGCGCACACTTTCCAGCCACTTCAGCCCACGAGAATGGCGGCTGGTAGAGGCGCTGCGGGTGCGCATCCCCGTAAAAAAACAATAAAGCGCTGACGGTACTGCTGAGTATTAAGAATATGTAAAAAGAGGGAGGACCTATCCTTCTATGGTTTTCCTCCTTAATCATATCAAGTGGTCAGGCGAGCAAAGTATGTTCTGCTCTCGCTCTCCTGCCTAGTAGTGTCGGGCTGGTTTCTAAACCAAATGGCGCGTGTATTCTATATTTATTTGACAGCGAAGACGGCCACCTTTGGAAACCAGGACCAAACAGTCGAATTCAAACGGCGTTTTGACGGAAATAAAACGAGCGTATTATGCAGCAAGTCGCATATATAACTTTTTTTTTATCTCACCCACTCAGCGGTGCGTTATGTACCTCAGGACTAACAAAGTTTCTCATACATCAATTCATCTTACCGCCATTATTAAACTACTTCTCATACCACAACGTGAAGTGAATGATATAATATGCAGGTATAGTCAATTTATTTGTTAACAGTTAGGTATAAAAAAAAGGCTGCCTTGCCTGCAAGATTTGTGAGGGGGAGCGTTTACCTACGCCTGTGAACTGTTATAAAATATACTCGTGTGGTGAATACTCGATGCTGAACTGTCTCTGTTTACCTTAGTTTGTGCTAATGAAAGGGTTCTTGTTACGAAGAAAGCAGCAGACTATATGTATACTAGAAGCCTAGCTTTCTGGAATCAGCCGATGCAGTAAGCTTTTTTTTTTCTCCAATGACTGTCATGGCTGACATCGCAATATATGCCTTGCTAGAGAAGAGTCTTCGATTTTTACTCGTCGTATAGTTTGTCTAACACACTTATTCAGTTCTTTCCGCTTGCCCTTGTCAGCTTAAAATAAAGGGCGTGCTGTACATCGACAATTGCTAGGCTTCCATGTACCAAACAAGATATCATTCAGAGACACGCTGTAGTCTGGGTATCAGGATTAATTGTGACCGCTTGAGGTTCTCTCATGCACACACATATCTTGGTTCACGGGTGCTTTTTGTATTTTACACCACGTATGCTGTGCTGCCACGGTGGTTTGCTCGACCAACATCCCTATGGATATATACGGCGAACAAAGCGTACATACGATGCCAGAAAAAAATTGACGCAGCTACCACTTCCTTTGCTTTTGTTTCGTTTTACTACATATGTGGGCAAGGTGGTATTGTCGCAGCATGAGCTTATCAATGGAGACATGTCAGCCTGCAGCAGCTTAACCCAAAAACCAGCACGCAAGCAGAAAATTGGACGCCATCACGGCACAGCACTGTCCCTTCGATGCTATATCCATAGGCACCGTCCACTTTGTAGGGCTTCTCTCTGTTTTTCAGTGCTTTTTATGCGAGCGCTAGTCATATAAAATCGAGCGCTAGTCTCCCATATCGTATACCAAACCACAGCCATTCTTGGACCAACTTCATTTTCTCACATCAAGTTTGCTTTGTACGGCATAGTTTTGGCTTTTTTTGTATACATCTCGACATATTCAGCAGCGCACGGAAACGAGATACAAAAGAAAGAATTGTATACAGGACAACCACTTCTCGTTCTGGAGTCGTTTTTTTTCTTCTTGTTTTATTTCAAGATACTGCATCACACGCTCGCATGAACCTTCAGCAACTCACTCTTTTTTTTTCGTTAAACTATGGCACATGTTTCGTACAACCGCAGAGGAATAGCGTGACCGAGTGTGTGTCTTTTTTGCGCTTGTTTCATCATGTAGAATTAACCACGAACTAATAGTAACCAAGCAATAACCCGCGATATAAAATCGTTCACCACGCAGTGAGAGCATGTTTTCGGCTTACTTTAAATAAAAGTACTACTACCACTACTACTACTACTACTACTACTACTACTACTACTACTACTACTAAAGAGAGATGGGGGGGGGGGAATCGGTGAGGAGGCAGAGACTGGTTTCACTTATGCCAGTAAGGCGACACGAGAGATTGACGCGAGAATTGGTTGTTGGTCTCAACGTTGACCACTGCAGCCATAGTGGCGGAGTAAATCCCCGAGCTCGAAACTCTCACAACGACGCCATTTGAAAGGCTCGCACTCTCCGCAGCTCTACACGCAGTGCACCTGCGTAAACGGGCCGACGCTGCACATGACCGCCGAGAGCAATGACACCGTCTACGACTACATGGGCAAGCGAGACCCGTGCGACGCCGACTGTGGCCTCGTGTTCGTCTACGCGGGTGCCATATTCATCGCCCTGTTCTTCACTTTCCTCCTCGTTGTTCCCGCTCTAACGGCCATGCTGCGCTCCCTCGAAGAAGACATAAAGTCCACCGGAATAGGTGTCAACTATGTCCTCATGAGGATATTCGGTACGCGACCGCGTGTGCTGGGTTAATTCGTTTTTAAAAGAATGTGGCAAGAGGTCGAAGCGGGTAGAGCAGGGTACATACGATTACCTACGAAGAATAAACGAATGAAATAGGTTTGCCACGCGGTTTTAGCGAAATTTTATTGGTAATAAGGTATAAAGGATTCAGAAAAACGAATTGACCAATTTTTTCATTATACAACTTTCACACACACACACACACACACACACACACACACACACACACACACACACACACACACACACACACACACACACACACCACACACACACACACACACACACACACACACACACACCACACACACACACACACACACACACACACACACACACACACACACACACACACACACACACACACACACACACACACACACACACACACACACACACACACACACACACACACACACACACACACACACACACACACACACACACACACACACACACACACACACACACACACACACACACACACACACACACACACACACACACACACACACACACACACACACACACACACACACACACGAGAATATTTACTCTAAATGTTAGCCTATACGAAAAACACAAAAAACAACAAAAGAACAAAGTTTGGCTGTAGCAACCGTGTAGCACAAGCGACTTCTGTCGTCCTCCTGGTATAAATACCCGCGTTCGGGCGTCCTGATGAAGCTCCTCACGCAAATCTTTGCCATTTTCTTTCAAGTCCGTTTCATCTTATAATCAAGCCATCGGATATGACACTCAGATAGGTAGGCATGCAGCATGAAACCAATAGCCTAACAAAAGCTTTTTACGTGAATTGGTGAGATCAAAGCAGATGTGTATGAAGACTCACAGAATCGCCATTTGATATAATCAATACTCATTAGACGGTACCGGAACTTTACTGCATAGACAGAAATTTTGCTTACGCGTGATGTAACAATGTAACACACCCGTTCTCACTTGAGTGTTTAGCCAGAACTAAGGATCCTCACGGCATTTTGATTGTCGCTTTGCAGGGACCATACCGGGCCCGATAGTGTTCGGTCACTTAATCGACCGAAGCTGCATTTTGTGGCAAACCACGTGCAGCGGTGGAACTGGGGCGTGCGCCATTTACGAGAACGGCGAAATGGGCGTCAACCTGTTCCGTGTCATGATCGTCGTCAAGTCTGCCGCCATAATGTTCTTCTTCTGTGCGTCGCTAAGCACCAAGGCTGAGGCAAGCAGAAAGTCTATTCTCAAACCGAGTGTCATGCGCACGCATTCTTGCACTATCAGGCATAGCATGGTAAATGAATTTTCGAGACATGAGTTTTCATGCAGTTTTTTCTTCAGATATTTTCACTTCAATTTTAACGCAATAGTGCTGCTCGTTTTGCAGAAATTCGGGTGTTGGCGTCGGTGTTCTTTGATCGGGAGCGAAAAATCGTGATCTTGTGCATGGAAATAACATTATGCTTTATAAGCCCAGGTGTCCTGTATACATGCTTCCCAGTACAACATTTTATACTGCAGTAATATTGCGTCGTAGAAGCGGTCAGATGTTAGAACATGCGATTATCATTCTGACTTCATGGTTTAATACCAGCCACCCATGACAAAAGACCACTTAGTGGGTGAATAGCCAGTTCGAAAACATTTCATGCGCATCAGGATATGAAGCAAGCTACTCGTTGCACACAATGCAGTCATATTCGAAAGCTTTACTGATTCAAGCTACTTTGAACTTTATCAATTACATTGTAGACATGGAAAGTTTAAACTTCTAGAATAACTGTACAAAAAAGAATGCCCTAAAAAAAACAAGGAGTAGGATATCGCTATTGTGTTCAACTATTGAAGGAGAAGCTTAAGGATGTCAATTTTTTTTAAAAGTGGACAACTTGTTGTGCACTTTGTCATGTAGCAGCATCAAGTAGAGGATAATACAGACCAAAAGCAGGGCTAACAATGCTCAGAATCAGTAAGAAAATGCAGTACTTTTACTCAAAGTCGAAATATATATATATATATAAACCACATAACCCGCTTTTGCAATATGTGACTGATGCCCACGTCGTGCTAGGAGAGTGCCACCACCATTAAACTGCATGATTACCGTGGTGATTACATGCACCAAGGAAATCACTGTGTTGCCAGTGCTACGCACTTCCTTAGGTTTCACCATGGTGGAACTGCATTAGGCGCAGTATTGAGAACGACAGCAAGACCTGCAAAAGAACGACGCTTTTCTTTTTTTTAATGAAGAAAATCGCGACGTAATAAACATCTACAAAACGCAGGAATAGAATGGGCTTGTGTTAGGTCTGCCAGTTAAAATTAACTTCGAGAATTTGGGACGAGTGCATAGATCGACATTTTCGGTAAATCGATCGTTTCATCAACAGGACACCGTTGAACCTGTGTCCGGAGGAACAGCTTTAGACGGTGAGGCTGGTGACCACGGAGGCACGAAGGATCGAGGAGATTCTCCTGACGACCTTGCCAACGGGGACCGTGTTGATGACGGGGACCATGGCGATGATAGGGACGACAAGCTCCTCAACGAAGACGACAACAGAAACTAAGACTCACCACGCAGCTGTTTCGAAAATAAAGATAACCTTATTGATTACTAAGCGAACAAATGAATCAGTGCTTCACACTGAATATCTCATACGCAATCAAAGAAACTCTTGTTCTGCCGTCGTGCAGTTAAGGTTGTTGTAACATAACGTGTAGCTGTAGTATCCAGCTACTCTGGCGTGGGTGCTTGGTAGTCGAGACCAGTTTCGCTTATAAGGCCATGCCTCGATCGTTACTCATTCTGTGTAAAGTCGCTTGATCTTTAATTCTGCTTAGACACGCAGCGCCAGCTCCTGGCTCGTGCGCGTCCTAACGACTCGTGACCACCTCTACCGTTTACACGAATATAGGCTTACAACATCACGACATAAATGGGGTTTTGCCCCGAATTAGTGGTTTTATAGCGTTGTGTAGCCGTAGTCAAGGGCAGCGTAGCAAACAACAGCTGTATTATGGCACCCGCTATTTTAGGGGCGCAGCTCTTCTTGCTTAGGGCAACTACTGCGGCGCGCCGTGACAAGTCGTCGTCGAGGCGAGCATGAGCGCGAGTGCAAGTTCTTTCGGCGCGCTTCCTTTCTCATTGCTGTGAGCTCAGGGCACATCTCCGCACAGCTAACCATTATAAATACCTTGAAATTGAAGGCAGTGGCGCGGAAAGCCCGCTGCGCGGCTGTAATGCGGACCCTCCGCCTAGGGTATAGCAGTGAGAGCTCGCAAGACCCATGGCAAGAACATCTCCCCGAAGAGAACCCTGATGGGATGCGAAGCAGCAGCGGTGCGCACGGCGTTTACCCGGTCGACATAGGCGTCGACATGGGTGCTGAAAAAGGTTTGACGTGAAACTCGGTGTAGCGTTTACTCGAGTAAACGTTTGATTGGAACGCAAACTCACGGAAAGCGGGTTAGGCCTCGTGTTAGTTTCATTAGAAGTTTTTAGGGAGTTTTAGAATACCGTTTGCAAGCGCTGTGGGCGTTGCGGGCGTAGCAGGCGCCATATGAGTTTTAGAATAGCGTTTGCCCTGCTGCGAACCGCAACGCACGATCGCAGCGACACCGTAGTCTCGAAACCAGCGCTTGCGGGCCACATGCGGGCCGACATTACCGCACGCAATTTCGGATTTTTCGCGTGCTGTCCGCGAACACGAACGCCGACTCGCGTTACGACGCATGCGCAGTGGCAGTGACCGCACCGCAAGGGCTCGTGGGGCGCTATTCTAGATGAGCGCTGGACCGGAGCTGGCGAATGTTTTCCTTTGACTACCACGCATTTGTGGTCGGTGAAGTGTGCGCTGAGAAGTTCCTGCAGACACCCAACGCCGAAGTGGCAGCTGTAGGTGAGGGAAAAGTGACGTCAGCACGCACCTGCTAAGGAAGCGTCCGAGGAGAGTAACGTCCACGCCCCAGTGGCGCCATGACTACTTGACACCGTTCCAATAGGCACTGCGCCGTGCTCCCGACCGGGTTGCAGAAATTAGGTGCCTTTTCCCATCTTCTAACCACTACCACATCGTTCCAACACCTGCGGCAAAAGCGAGAACGTTCGTACGGATGCACGTACGTACGGTGTTACACACGTGAGTCAAAGAGCTGTATTTTTTTGTGAATGTTCTTGCTTCTGCTCTTTTTTCCGCCTATGCTTCAGTCTTCAGGTAAGGTGAGGGCCAGAGGTTTACCAACCAAAATCCTACTAGCAGGAGAGCAAGACCTGGGAGGAGTGCTTGTTGAGGTCACAGAGTCCGAGGATTAATGGCAACGCATTTAACTGCGAGCCCGCCACATTTGACTTGGTAGGCCCACGCTTTCTCGGAGTAAGCAGATATGGAGCACCGGCCAAGAATGTAGAATAAAAGTATGCTTAATTTTTTGTTCTTTGTGAATCGGTGCATCCGGTGGATGCCGATCTGTGAAAAGAAGCAAATGTATCTAGTGGTGGCAGGGCATGACGTGCGAGGAACTACAAAGCAATAGAATGGCTGGTAAAAGTAATAAAGGCTGAAAAAAAGCTGAATTATCGCCCTTTTATATGAAAAGTCAGTTTTTGGTTAGTATGTCAGTGGTCCGCCTTCATCAGTATTTCTATTTCCGACCATTGATGGATGCATGTACGGACACACCAATGGACGGACGGATGGGCGCAAGGTCGGACGGATGCACGGACCGACAGACAGACGCACGTACGGAGGGACGCACAGAAGGAAGCACGAATGGATGGAAGCAAGAACGAACGGACGGACTGATGGACGCTTCGCCCCACCCACCATCATGACCTCCATGGGAATGCTGTGATTTTTTTCAATATAGTAGGAATCGTAACAGAAGGCCAAGTAACAACAAAGTGATACGCAACATTTTGACCTTCAAACATATACACACACAAAACTGAATAGTGTTGCTCTAATTTGTAGTTTTGCATTCCTAAGCGCGAAACCATGCGCAAGAACGGGCCAACTGAATGGGTACACCTTGAAGACTATGTCCAGCTGTGAGCTTTTTCCTGTGCTCGATGCTTCACAAGAAAAGTAGCCTTTTAACTGTATTCGTAACCTTAGTATTTCATGCCCTGGTGATTTTAGCACCAAGTTGAGTCCCTAGTATACTGTGTAAAAGTATGTGTAGCTTCCCATTTACTTATTTGATCCTTTCCTCATAATGTCAATTGTTAGTTGTATGCATTAGTTGTTCTGCTAACTTGGCTTCTGCTGTTGGCTCTATGTGAAATTGTTATCTTTTGTGTGACGGTGATGTGATGTACAACTGTGAAATTGTGAATTTATTTCGGATTACTAATTCATCACGCCAAAGCTATGCTTTTCATAGTGTAGATAAACTTTTTGTGAACAGTCTTGTTCGCACACATGCTGCGCAAAGTTTTTTTTCTGTCAGCAACCTATTCCGAATAGCTTATTGCGGTCAATTGAAAATACACCAAGGTACTTTTTTTTGTCCTGGTGAAAGGCTTTCCCAGGTCAAAATGTGATATTTTTGTTGGTCACTTGCCGACTGAATCTTGTCAACATTCGCAGTTTCCACCGTTATGTGATTTTCCATTGTCTTTGCCTTTTTTGTCAATAAATTCTTTTTATTCGAGTGTTTCTTGAGCCCCGATTTTTATTTCTTTGCCTTTTTTTAGTGATTTGCCTGTCTTTGCTTCTTGAGCCGAAAAAAAAAACTTTGTTTCGAATGGTAAACTGGCCGACACTTATGATTGTCTCAATTAAGTCGTAACCCTTAGATGTATTGTGTGCTATACCTCACCACAATTGTCATGGGTAGGAACGCACACACACATGCATTGTTTCCTTTAGCACTGTCTGACTCTGAAGCAGAATCTAACTATCCAACGGCCGTGACCAAACATCAGCGCGCCCGCAGGTACTCCCACTGCTTGTAGAAGAAGCTGATAACTGTAGGGTGCGCTGTCTTGACTTTTTTGTGAGGCCACGACCGATTCCGCAGCTCACACTGTTTTTCGAACCGTACGCACGTTTCGCACATACAAGCATTTACACATATGCGAGACTTCTTCCGCATCTCATCTTTTTCCATGCGCCACCACTGCGGGAAATACACGTACACAAATGCCATGGCGTAACGTGCCTCCCCTGAGCACCCGCTCTGCATACGTGACAAGGCAAACTTTTTCTCGAGAACACGCACGAACCCGTCCAAGCAGATGCGTTGACGCCTGACAGTTCCCGAAAGCCACAGTCTCCTCGGGACAGATTGTACGTCACCTCTCGAGCTTTCTTCCAGGGCCATCGAAGACAGCACCTCCTAGCTTATTTTTTGATGCACAGAAGGACGTCGGGGCGTGAAAGGAGGCTAGAAAGCGTATCAGTTTTCACTAGGCGTGCAAAATAAAGAGAATAATGATATTCGGCTGAACTGGATGGAAAGAGCACTCGGATACACGACGCCGTCCGGATGCCAGAAGAAGCAAGCATCTCGCAGCGAGGGAGACCACATTTATGACTTGTCTGATGTATGACTCGAGCTTAATATACACATAAGATGGATGATCTCTTTGAGCAAGAATATACGCCGTAGTGACCAGTGTTTACGTGGATCTTAGTCGGGTAGTGAACTGGGTTCAGAATTTGTAGTCTTCCTGGGCATGCCCAGCAATCAAATACACTGTTCTCTAATAGTTAAAGCAAGTTACGAAAGTGATTGCACCGTACATATATGCCAAGTATTGTAATCAGTAAGTGGATCAGTTGGAAGCTGGAACCATATAGCTTCGACTGCAAAGCACGTGAGTACATAAATTACATTCAAACCTGAATCGTAAACTATTTGTAAAGCGTACAGCAATGGGCGTTTGTATAATAGGCATGTCTGTTGTCTCTGTACTGACTGCCGAGCTAGTATCGGTCTGAAAGTTTATAATGAGCTCCGTACTTTCATTTGAAAGAGTTGTATGTGACTGAATACTAAAACGTCAGTTCTTTCGCACCTTGACATTACATGAAGCCCCTGTGCACATCTGAAGTTCTGAAATATTTGCATAATTGCTCCCTTCCGGTTTTTTAAATACTCGGTGAATATAGTGTCAGAATAAATGCATACACAATACTTTCACGTACGCCGATGGTACTGCTCATTTAGCAACGAATAATTCAAGTCCTGAATCAGCTGATGCCGTGAGCTTACTGATAATGATATCGGATGAGTTGGCATGACGAAGTGGCATTCATATTTTTTTTACATTTAATTGAGGTTGTTATGACCACATTTCGAGAAATGCACAACACTGATTAGACTCATAACCATAGGCTAGTAAGGGGTTGATTGATTTGTGGGGTTTAACGTCCCAAAACCACAATTTGATTATGAGAGACGCCGTAGTGGAGGACTCCGGAAATTTTGACCACCTGGGGTTCTTTAACGTGCACCCAAATCTGTGTACACGGGCCTACAACATTTCCGCCTCCATCGAAAATGCAGCCGCCGCAGCCGGGAATCAAACCCGCGACCTGCGGGTCAGCAGCCGAGTACCTTA